TTTTATTTTCATGGGTTCTCCAGAGTTGCGGGCGGCAATTTACTGAATTTTTCTCGAGACCATTGTGATAGAAACGAATAAAATTCAGAAAATGTCCGGGGGATTAAAGCGACCATCCGGTTACTCCATCCGCGACTAGCGTTGATAAATTTTGACCGGGGGAAATCGCTTCCAGCGAAATCAGAAAGCATAATGTCGACGAGTGTCGAGAACTTATTCTTTCCGTTCGTAGTTGGAAAGAACCTCTTATCGAGAACAGGGATCTTGTTTGCCCGATCGATTTGGATCACAAGTATGTCGATAAAGTACTCACGCGATGAAAAAGTATTCCGTCATCGATGATCAATCTAGATTAGAATCGAAGTCCAATTATCGATGATGTTTTAATACGTTGTCGTAACAGAGTATTACCCGTGTATTTGTTCCTTTATCGATGTTGCTAATGACAAATAATCATAACAATTTAAGAAAACAGTCACGATTTCTGAATAGGAGATCCGTTTCGGGGAAGATACTTTGGAGAATATACTTTGGAGAATATTTAAAGATTCCGAGATTTTATTCCTTCTTTCTCGGAAACAGCAAATACAAATAATTAATAAATTCGATTTAGTAATTTACGTACTAATTACGTAGTTATTAACGAATTCGGTAACAATTGCAGTGGCAGTATTTTTAATTATTTGTATTCGTTCCTCGATGTATCTTCAACGTGCATTTTGCTACCTACCCGGCGCGGTGGCTCTCCGAGGTCGGACGGCCCTGAGCGCGCGGAAGGCGAGCACCGTGATTGGTCAGTGTTTTTCGTTAATAATTCAAAAACGAAGCTCCATCCGACATTTTTGCAAAGGAAATTGTTGTTCAGAATCGTCTCAGCTACCCCCCATTTCCGGTTCTTACACTATTTACGGGACACCCTGTATATGTATTTATTCTTCGTAAGGAACCACGTGAACAGTTCTTTAAGTAAAACTTGACCAAGACGAGAAAACTCTTAACGCTTGTGTAACGATTGTAAACAGAAATAACAATTTATTGTTCACAGCTGTATCCTATTATCTGCTTGACAATTGAGGTTGTTGAAAAGTTATGGTGTTCGATAACAGGCAATAAGGAAGGTGGTACGTTCGAAACACTAAATATAAGTTGTCCTTCCTTGTTACACGTTCTGAGGCGTTTACCGTGCCGAGTAATTAGCATTACGTTAACGAACGCCCATTGCCACCTGCGCCACTTAATGACATCCAGTTGGTAAACGCCCGAATAATGAAACTGTATCGTTCGTTCCAAATTGAAACGAATACCGGTCACTTCCTGGTCAATCAGTTTGCAGTCTGCGAACGAATTATCGCGGATCAGAGGTCCTGATTACTATAGTCCGCCCACGGACCAAGGAACTAGCCAGATCAAAGGCCATTCAGATCTAATACAAAATAATTCTCATCTACATAAACCTTTCGAACGAGCAACAAAAAATAAATAATTATCCCTATCGAATCAAAATTGAAATTTTGTACGTGTGCCGAATAATTTATTTTCTACGAGCAACGAACTAAAAAGAAAATTCTTTACCCCTGATTCTACGATATATTTGGAGCCTGTATCGGTAAGAGAACGTTTCCCATGGTTTGAAAGTAGCTCTTGAAAAAGATTATGGTCCGCTGGTCCGAAAGCACCGTTATCGCTCGGACGACGGAAGATCCGAATCCGGCGCCCAAATCCACTGGTCGCCTAATTGCTCTAATCGTCGAGATCGTAATAGTTAGCGTCGATTGGCCGGACGCTAATTGGACCCGCAACGAGCGAATCCCCTTGAAGAGGCGAGTATTCGACAGAAACGAACGCACCTGCAGGGAGAAATAAGGAGCAGGTCCATTCTCCATCGGACGATAATGATTTATCGCGACAATTGTACGTGGCAATTTGCGGACCCCTCTTGGTAGCCGATTCTCACGACTGCTCCACATTCGCTAATGTAACAGGTTGTCGGCGGTCCGTAGAAGGCGGAGAGGAAATGCAAATGGCGCGAAACAATGTCCTTTGTGGGCTGGAAATGTAACGCGGCCATCGCGGGCGAAAGAGTAATTTCGTTTGCTCGCGATATCGAGCGGATAGACGCGGCACGTGATCCTCGCGTTTCTCTCGTTTTCCATGTTCCAGATACTTTCGCGCGAAACTTTCTTTCCGTCCCGGGAAACGCTCTCCGCCGAGAGGAACAAACTCGCCCGGAGAACGAAGAAATTTTCCGCCGACGAACGGTCGCTCGAACAGCGAAACTTTGACGAATCGTGGAGAAAAAATAATGGAACTAGCGCGTGTCTCCTTGGACGTGGCATAAACTAATTCGAATGAACTATCGAACTTCGAGTTTGTCGAGTTTCGAAGATACAAACGACTAAATTTGGCCCTCCTTCCCTTGGAAGTACCAAGGAAACGAGGCTGAACAGATGCAATACGTTCTGATCAAACTTTAGTAAACTCTACAATTTGGGATCAAACAGTTCCAGATTCTTGCAAACTATGATAGTACTGTGTTATGAGATTGCAATTAGTACCATTTTAGGGGCCTCGGACTTTAATGAACTGTCAGATACAGTGCTAAACAAACAGCTTCAAACTTCCACAGTAGAAATGTGGGATATGAAAATTAATCTTAGTCTCAAGATGTTTCACAAAAATTAATCTACGAGTGTACTGGGTTATTAATCTCGTGATCATCGAAGCAGGAACAGTTCAAACAGCTCCAAATTCGAACTCGAACAGCGAGACTTTGACGAATCGTGAAAAAAAAATGGAACTCGAGCGTGTCACCATTTCGTCTGGGGTCAACGAAACGAAAGTACGACTGTCGAGGCCCCGGGAGTTCTGAGTTCAATCGTACTCGTTTAATCAGGTGTTGCAAGGTTTTTATCTTATCCTGTGACGATTATGGTTCCTCCCCTCGAAACGCGCTTTTATTTCGACAAAATCTGGCAACGTATCTCGGACTCCATCGAGCCTGTTGCTCGCGTGACATTACCAAGCACTTTAATCGCCCGTCGAGAGCGATCTGTCTAGAAACTTAGAAAGCTGGACGATTTTCTGCGTCCACGAGTTTCTGAGCAAACTCGTAACAGTAACGACAAAGGTGCTCGAGAAATCTATGTTTAAACGAAATGACCAAAAGCAAAAGTAGTTTCGATGTGTCTTTCGTCCTTGTTGAAGTGCACGATTAAGAATTCTAGGTGTTTTTCCCCTCGCCTCTCGATGAGAAAAACTAACATAGTAATCGCTATCGAAGAGAACACTCGAGATAACAGGCTTGTAGTACGTGTCTAGTAAACAGAGAACTATTGGATTCTAGATCGATGTTTACTTGCGGCTTTGTGGCCACTTTTACGAATGGAAATTATTTCTATCGATGGAAAGGACAATGTTAAGTCATAGAGGGGTTTACTGACCCAAGAGCGTACAGCATATGCTATACACCGTTGGAAAGGTCTTGCCAAGGCGAATCGACTGATACCATTTTTAACTTCGATATCAGATGGGATAATGTCGAAAAATGGCCTCAAAGTTCGAGATTTTGCGGTTTTGAACAAAAGAAACCGGTAGTAAAAGCCCATCCGGCCCGAGGGACCTCGGGTAGGCACCTGAGGAAAAACCGAGGGGTGTAAGCGATACTCTAGCAGATTGGGACGGCAAATGTGCCCCACCACCTTCATTTCAGTGCCGTGTTGGGCCTGCGTTTGTCGCATGGGCCCCGTTCCAAATGCCCAGGGCGAAATCGCCAATGGATCAGTTGTTTTTCATGAACATAATATATTCATGGTAGACAATTCGCAGGTATAAGTTGGGAATGTGCAGATTAGTATTCAGACTAATACGTCACTTACAATAGTGAATGGAGTGACATTTTATTGATTGAACGAAACATAATGATGTGAATACTGAATACTAACCTGCACATTCCCAACTCATACCTGCGAATCGTCTATCATGAATATATTATGTTCATGAAAAACAACTGATCCATTGGCGATTTCGCCCTGGGCATTTGGAACGGGGCCCATGCGACAAACGCAGGCCCAACACGGCACTGAAATGAAGGTGGTGGGGCACATTTGCCGTCCCAATCTGCTAGAGTATCGCTTACACCCCTCGGTTTTTCCTCAGGTGCCTACCCGAGGTCCCTCGGGCCGGATGGACTTTTACTACCGGTTTCTTTTGTTCAAAACCGCAAAATCTCGAACTTTGAGGCCATTTTTCGACATTATCCCATCTGATATCGAAGTTAAAAATGGTATCAGTCGATTCGCCTTGGCGAGACCTTTCTAACGGTGTATAGCATATGCTGTACGCTCTTGGGTCAGTAAACCCCTCTATGACTTAACATTGTCCTTTGTGTCTTCGTTTCACGTGCACCGATCCAAAGTTTGGAGCGTTGTGGTATCAGCATAGCCTGATAAATTAGCAATTTTTTTATCGACACTGCACCAGTCGATTAAGCACCGTTAATCCATCGGATCGCACGAGAGAAAAAACGAATAATCGGATGGAAAGAAAGGAATGGTGTCGTTTTGGTGACCGGTTTCCGGGCGTTCACCGCGAACTTGACCCACTGTCACACTTGCAACGATCACCATGCACGTGTTCGCCCGACTCATTATCGTTTACTGTTTCCACGACGCTGTCCGTGAAAAATACGTAGCTCAAAAGATTAATCTCAAATGTGTTAATCTCTGTTTGCTCGTCGATCGCCGCGACAACGCGGTTTTGCGAGCGATCGTATTTGTTGCGACGATTTTTCGCGATGATTAACGAAACGGATCAACCAAACATTAGATTGATTCCTAGAGTTATAATTCCGTAAACGTTTCCCATAGAAAATGAAACTTCTCTCGGTTCGTTTCTCTCTTTGAGCCCTCTGATACCTGTTACTCTCTGTACCAAAGGGTTTATCTCGTAAATAAATAAATAAATAAATCGTCTTGTAAAAGCTCCATCGAGTCGAGACTCACAGGACGATTTGAGCTTCTTCTTGGCAGCCTGTATACTGGAACTCGTCCTGAGGGTGATACCGATGCTCCTGGATTTCCCCACAGAATTTTCCGTGGCCCCGTTCGATGTTATTATCGAGATGCCACTTTGCTCCATATCGGCGAGATTTATTGGCGTCGATCTCACCAGCCTGTCTGCTGAAATGCAAGTCGTTCGTTTTAAGCACAATCGTGGAAAACGTTTTATTTGATTTACACCGCGGGAACTCAGTGATCCTCCAAGGAAAATAAATCATGCGATGCTGTGCTTGTCGTTTTACAGTTATTTACAATTTTTCACCCGTCGACTATCTCCCATATTAAAAATTAAATTATAATGTAATGTATTGTGGAATTATTGGATCTTCGGAGAAAATTATTTACTGTACGCTTTCGACTCGTTTCTAACTGCAGAATCCTTCTCGATCCAACAATGAATTTGATCCATTCGACGTTATACACGTAAACAAACGGAAGATATCTTCCCGTTCGCCGTGGAACAGTAGTGCGACTAGCGATGAAATACAATTGCGAACGTAAACACCGATGAATTACGGTCTCCAAACACGTTCTCTGTCAAATTGGAACTATATCGTGCGTTCGAGCAACGCCGAAAACAAAAGACAATCGTAAATCGACCGTGACAAAACGATCCAACGGTTGTAAATCGACGGAGCCAGCGCGTTCGATTCGAAAACTGCATTTCCGATGTTGTAAATTTTATTCGGATCGCAGAGATTTGGATCGTTATCAGATAAACACGAGCCAAAAACAATACATGAGATCTGAAAAAAGGCCCGAGTAACTAACAATTTTCGTTTGAACATGGATTATGTTAAGAACTCTGTTTCTATCGTTTCATCAATTTTGAAACTGTTTGATTTCTGTTTGGACAAATATTATTAATCATTCGTTTTTACAGTAAATGAAACGAAAATTTTCGAACAATGTAAATATATTAATCGACACGGAAAGCTTCAGTTTAATTTCTCTAATAGTCTCCATTGATCTCCAGTGTTCAATCTGCGGTCAAGAATCCTTCGATAACGATGCAATCTCTTCGTGCCGTGTTGCAAACGTCAATGAGCGACGAATGTCGTTGATAATTAATACTAACGCGTAAGGTGTTTCGAATGTAATCAAATTCCATGTTTATGACACGCGATCGCGACGAGAAACATACGTGATTTCGATTTTTCCATCGTTCCCTTGCAACCTGACAGAAATTAACATACACCAGCTCGTATAGTTCAGCGACCGTAGACAGTTTATAAAATTTCGAAACAAGAAATTGAGATTATTCCATCGTTCACTGGACCAATTTTTTACCTCGATTTAAATTGAAATTGTCGACGATACGAGCGAGTCTTTGATAATTTGACTCATAGGTTTTTATTAAATAAAATGATACTACCTATAACTGATACTGATATTTATACTCATAAAGGAACAGAAAAAAATGCAAGTTTTGCTATATATTTTCTATAATATTTTCGATGATTCGAAGATCCACGAGTCGAAACGTCAGATCAGGCTCGTTCGAGATTGCTCTGTTGATCCTTGGATTGTTTTTAATTCGAGATGTACGGACTCACCTTCGATAATGCGGATGGTCGGATTCAAATGTATTCGAAACGACGAAAATCACACGAAGATTATCAAACAACGGTCACACGACAACTGAGTTATATCGATTGGTTCCCTCTCGAGCAGATCCCTGAATTTCGTGGCCGCGATTCGAGTGTATTCGAATGTCGCGTGGCTTGGACGAGACTGAATCGTTTCGCGAGTCGCCTCTACCTCTATATGTAGAATCTCCACCTCTGCCAGTCAAGACTGTCGGTCTCCCGTTACACGACAACGTTCTGCCGACAAGCATTGGGAACTCGCTTCTGCCAAATCGCGACCCCACCACGACGCAATTTCGAATACACGATTCTATAGCAATTTGAAACTCCTCGCGCGAATCACGTCAAAGGTTGCTACCTTTGGTTTGCATAAAAGTGCAGCTCGAATCTAAATTAAATTCCTTCGTTTTTGACACCTTTAAAGAAAGGGTTCCATATAAGAAAAATAATTTTTCTCTTAACAATAAAGATCTCATAGGGGAAATCACGTATCAAGGATTGCTACCTTTTATTCGCCTGAAAGTGGAGGCTCGAATCTAAATTAAATTCCTTCGTCTTTGACATTTTCATTTAGAGCAAAATCACGCATAACGGAAGGGGTTCGATGCAAGAGAAATAATTTTTCTCTTAACAATAAAAATCACATTGGAGAAATCACGTATCAAGGATTGCTACCTTTAGTCCATCTGAAAGTGGAGACTCAACTTTAAATGAAATTCCTTTATTTTCAACACTTTTATTTAGAGTAAAACTCTACCAAAATTGTGTAATATTTACTATTTACTATTTAAAAATACCAAATCCATCTTCTCTGATAACATTTTATATAAAAAAGGACCTGTTCCATTCTCAGTTGCACCCCTTTTGAACATTTTCAGGTGGTCCCATCCACGCTACAAAGAGTTAACAAAGAGTTGGAGCGTGCTACGTCCTAAATGCAGAAACTCGTCGACTGCCAGTCGGCCGAGTAATCGTTGTCCCGTTACACGACAGCATTCTATCGAGGAACTCGCGCTTCTCATAATCTTATCCTCCACGCGACACAGATTCGATTTCTCAGGAGTTTCGAGTGTTCCCAAACGAAGAATTACGATCACTTTCGGTAACGCGAGAACCAACGTCGATCAAAAGATAAAACAATCGATATGAATGTGTTTGTTGACAGCTGTCCCATCCCATCTGTCCATCAGGTTTGAACTATAGACTGAGAAACAATTATAGCGAGCGAAACGCGCGTTTTCGTTGCCAAATATTCGCATGTTATTTCTAGATACATCTCGTTGCATAATTCGCGATAAAGCTTCGTTCGATGCGATTCTCTGATCGAGCAAAAGAAACTCTAGATCGTCCATTGGACAGCGATCTTCGAATCCTTATCAATTGCGATTCTCATCGATACTTTTTTTGGCGAATTTCGACACGGCGTTGAAACAGTGTACGACTCGAGATACACGAATTCGTCGTTTAAATAAAACACAACGTGCACTCACACGCTTGGGCATTCTGACAAATCGTTTTTGAAACTAAGATATTGTTTCCACATAATCGACGAAGTTTCGAAATTTTAAGCTTCCCGTCTGCAGAAATAAACAAACGCGTACATACAGTACATTTCCTGGCGAGTACGAATCTCCAAATATTTTACAGTTTTCTTTGAACGAGAATTCTCTTCATGGCCGATCTCGACAAATTGCATCAGGAATTAAAGAACGTTTCTTCCTCTTTCTTTCTCTTGAAGTATCGCGAACATTTCGCGAAGCGTCGCGCACCTTCCAGAAGGAAATCATTAAATCCGACTGTGTTGCGTGACGTCGATTGTGCCACCAAGATTCAAGAGTCTCGATTGTTCCGTTTCTTTATGTTTCTTCTTTTCCTGGCGTTTCGACAACGCACGCGCGCGATCCCTTCGAGCGTACATCGAATTTCCGTCCACGGTGCCCGCGAAATCATAGGTATTTGTCGAACAAAACTAACGCAAAAATATAATTCCAGTAATTCTATCGTAGCTCGTCTTTTACCGCAATCCAAACGACCCGAAGTTCCAACGACGTCGAATCTAAAATTCAATATTTTTCGAATAAAAATTTCTTTCGTAAATTCATTTGCAAATCACAATTAAAGAATCCTTTTTATTCGTTATTCGAGACTTGCCTAGTTGGGCGTAGCATTCGCGAGAATGCATAACACAAACAATTGAATCATCGTTTACTGTGTCATTTGTGATCGAATATATTGACCATCGTCGTTGGTAAAGATACTCAGCTATTTCCAAATCATTTACTGTTAATTTCCTAGGCCACGTTTCCTCGATCTTCCGTTTTGTTTTCCCCCCATTGACTGATTTAACATGTACCCACAAATTTTATCAACGTTTTACGAAACTGAGGCAGATGGAGTATGATCCTTCCGATCCCGCCGCGCAATTTGTTCAACTTTATCGCGAGCAACTACCTGTTCGCTCGCCTTTCACCTCTTGCTAATTCCATGTCACATATTTGCCTCGATGATCAGTTTAAACACGGCTTTTTGCTTCGGGAATCTGTCATCGTACGCGCAGTGTCAACGACGTAATCCGTATCGGTGTTTACAAGCGGCTATACCTGCGTTTCTCGTCGCCCCGATACATGCTCTATGGCCATTTGTACAATTTCCATCGTTTTTCTGTACACCGTTCCGTTTCCATACACGTTATCTCGACCTTATCTTTACAGATACTCCCTCTGGGACATCGTGTGCATGATTTGATAATCGATCTAACAATTATTCACGGGAATTTCTTGTATCTTACTTTCAATATTAACTTTACATTCGGTTCATCAGCATCGAAGGTTTATAAAACGTTTATGAATCGTAGAAAAACATAGACGATAAAAGTAAACACAAAGATACAGCAGATAATAATGATAATGGCAAGTCTATTTAAATCTTTACTTCAAGGGAATTTAAAAATTCTTCCCTTAATCGTGAGATATAATAGATACGAAAATCTTGATTATTATCTGCTTTTGTTTCAGTATCAATTTTAAATTTAGTTCATGAAAACATACACTAGAAAAGTAAGCATTCATGATACAGCAGATAATAATGAAAATGACAACTCCGTTTAATTCTTTACTTCAGGGGAATTTAAAAATTCTTCCATAATAACGAGATATAATGGATACGAAAATCTTGATTACTTTGGTTCCCGTTAGGTCGCTGTCATAATCGCTTTATCCTTTGACCATTTCCTCGAGAACAGTTATTACTGGTAGACTCGCGGTTAATTTTTACACGTTTCCATCATGGCGACCGCGTTTTGTCGCAGAATTGGAGGAGGTCAGGGCGACTATTCGTCCTATCGACTCTAACGCCGAGAAAAACATCTGGTCTCGGCATTCTCCCGTCAGATCGGGTGACCTACTGCTCCTTTCTCGGCGTCGCGGTACGAAAAGAGACGCTCCGCCGCGATTACGTCGCGGACACATTATTTATCCCGCTCTCCTTATATCGTAGCCGCTTTTCGATCGACGCTAGACGCAGCTTTTTCGCTTGTTATCCTTCCAGCGGCGGGTATCGTCGACTTTTATTCCCGTCTTCATCGATCACACGATTGTTTTTTTTCTCCCCCTCTTCTATCCGCGAACAAAGAGACCGGGACCGGGCATCGATCAGCGCCGTCGACGTGATCGATCGACAACAAACGACGCTCGTCCTTTGCCCACGGACTTCCGCGGAAAGAAACGTGTCGCAGGGAAACTGTTGCGTGGCAGGATGACGCTTCGCGGATTAACCTTGGGTCTCGAGACAGCTTCATTGCAGGAGCCGACGGAGAGGATCGACCCAACCGGTAGCACGATCCATCTGCGAAAATAATAGGATCAAAGGATCCGTTCGTGTCCAGACAGCTGATTTTCCATTCCACGGATTTGACAAGACTCTATTTCAACGCGTAATAGAACTAAAATAACAATTCAGTTACGCGGGAGTACGCGCCTAATCTATTCACGATTTTTTAATCTTGTCTGTGGTACCATTCTACCGTCGCTCTGCATTATTCTGGCGCCCGTGGCCTCTGCAAATATGTTTAAAGGATTTACAATATTGAAATTCAGACGTTATTAACAGTATATTAATTATGAAATTTAATTGTAGGGTCAGGTGCCCTAATTTGGAACACCGCGATATTAAAGAATTGTGATTTTGCCATCTAGTGGCAATGAATGCAATCGATTACGATTGTCATTTGTTGTAACTAGCGTGTTCGTAAAAGAATATTGAAGAAAATATAGCAGTCTGAATTTTTTCAAGGTGATCTTTCACCTAATATTAAACATAATAAGATAAGTGTATCAGCTTTGTGTTAGCTCGATTATTTCTTCAAATATAAATATAAATATAGTATTCCACGTTACGAGCGCTATGAGCCTAATATGGAAAATGCATAATATTTAAATTCTTATAAAAGTTCTGCAAGCAAATATGCGTATAAAAAAAAGTATTCCATATATTAGGGCAACTAACCCTATACCTCTTATACCTTATGAGCTATCAAATAGGAATCTTCTTTTGCGTTGCAGTTTTCTACATTTCCATGGACGAACCATTCGAATAAATAGACAATGCGTGTCGATCATAAATCGCGCCATTGGTACATCATATTTTCCGAGTTATTGTCTCTCGCTTGCTCGCGCGTAAACAAATTATGTCGGAGTTAATTGTTCGAAACGATTAAACACTTTTAAGGATGCGAGAGCATCTCTTTGTCGGCAGACAATTCCGCGTGTAATTTATAATTATCCCTGTCGCGATTGTTTTTAAGCGTCCTCCCCGAGTATCCGTAATAATGATTTACAAAGAGACTTTCGAATACGTCGGAAGAACGTATCGCGCCAGGGACGTGTTCTATCTCTAAGAAGTTGACTCGAGAGTTTGACGCAAACCTCAGAGACGTCGATTGGACTTTGACGAGCAAAAGTCGCCAAATATTTAGCGATAAAAGAAACTGTGATTGTTTTCTCAAGCTCGAAGCTTCTACGACCGTAATTGCGATCGCATCCTCCTTCCAGCGGGGTTCCAGGAAGTATCGCGCGGGTTTTTCGCCGCTAGAGCATTCGCGGAAAAGAATGGAGCACAATACGGTTCGGTATGGCTGAACAAGTTCGTCCAGCTTCGTTCGACTTCCTGGATGCCGCGAATCGAGAAAACTGGACCCGATGGGAGGGAACTGACGGATACGGGTGATTTTTCACAACCGGAAACGCCTGGGTTTCTTTGCTCCAACCGATAAATAGAGAAAGGAATGCTCGTACGAGTTTCTCGACAGGGTTGTGACTGGTCCAACAATGTAATATTCGAATAAAAAATGAAGAAAGACGTGGCTGGCGCACGGGACGAAATCAACGACCCGTAACGAGAGTCCTGTAAACGATAAGAGAAAAAGAGCGCGCGACCATCGTATTGTTTTGTTGCGCAACGATACGGCCCGCGTGTAATCTCGTTTCCTCCATTATTATCCTGCGAATCGATCCTCCTGGACCTCCTTTCTCTTTAAAGGCGTCTTCCTTTTTACGCTCGCGACACCCATTCCCGTAGAAGCGAAAATAACGAGTCGACCGCACGAGGAATCTGTCGCCGGGGCCTTGAACCAAAGTTCGAAAAGCAGGTCGTTCGTTTTCTCCTTTCAATCACTGGGAACGCCGTCGCAGTCTTTGTTCACCTCTTCGCGGCGACCAAAGTTTTCAGATAGTCGGTGCACGCGATCGCGATGCTAGAAGAATCGATTCGACGATGCACACGGTCCCTGTAACAGAAACGAAAGCCACGTGAAACGCGGAACAATAAAATAAAAGAATAATTCGTTATACAAGCTACCGTATCGGTTTACTTGACTCGGCGTAATCAGATTACAATTTCTATCCGTTCGTTGTGAACACAACGTCAATTGTGGTGAATAGACACCATTTTGGTGAACAGACACACCCTCGAAATCCTACTCACTTTCGAGAACAAAAATTCGAGTAGATGCTGAAATTTTTCGGCGAAATTAAAAAATTTCAAATCGTTCTAAGAAAGTATGTTTGATTGCAGAGGTCAATTACAATCATTTTTGGTGAATAGACACACCCTCGAAATCCTACTCAACTTCGAGAAAAAAATTCTAGTATGTGCCTAAATTTTTCGGCGAAAAAAAAATTTCAAATCATTCTGGAAAAATCATTTTCGGTTGTGGGGGTCAATTACAATCACTTTTGGTGAATAGACACACCCGCGAAATCCTACGCACTTTCGAGAAAAAAATTCCTTACCGAAAATATACTGTGTGGCCAGAAATGTTTCCCTCGACTGCCTCTCAATATCCTGGCGTCTGAAACAGGGTCTGCTAGAAAACGCTTCACCCCTATCCTTTTCTTTCCATCTCGAGCATAGGACCCCCCAACGCTGCTCTTTATCTGATATTCATCGAACAACGACTTTCTCTCTCGCTGTTGATGCGAACAACCGACGGAAAACGGAGAAGCTTGATGGGAAAAAATGGGTCAAGAGCGGCGCGAAAAAGCAAAAAAGCAGCCGCCAGAAAGGGAGGTCCTAATAAAGCGCGGGAAACGCAACGATCGCGCGGTTAATTGACTGACGCGTTAATTGACCGACCTAGAACGGTCGAGCGGGAAGTCAGGTGGCTGGTGCCGGGTTAATTCGATGCAGAAAATCCAGATTCGTAGATTAATCTCTCCGTGTATGCTCCGTTCGAGAGACGTCGAGTAATTATCGTGTCACCGTCGTTTGCTCCTATCGTCGTTTATTCACAAGGAATCTGTCCTCCGCTTAGCCGCGAAGAGATAATCGACTTAAGCGGCTGCACAAGGTTGCCTGGTGCCTGTTGGAAAAACACGCGTCAAAAAGTCAATCGCCCGTGAAATGAGAAGGAAATACGAAAATTCCTATCCTGTGTCGCCCATAAATCACCGTATCATTCGATAAACGTGGAATAAGAGCGAGTCGACGGGTTCGAGGAATTGTAAATACATATTCATGTATTTGGAAAATTATTAAAAAAAATGTATATTAAACAACTACGATGATTAACTAAAAATTGAATTCATCGGGAACTGTCTGTCTTGCTAAAAATTCATGGTCGTTTAAACTTTAAGGTCTCCGTCGGCGTCCCGCTGTTCAACGTAAAAGGACACCAAACGGGGGAAAAAAGGCAAGCGAAAAGATATAAAAATGGCAATATCGACGACGCGAGCGTCTGCAACGCAACGAAGAATGAAATATCAGGATCTGATAAGACCTTATGTGGTTATCGTGCGTCCATCAAAGTCGTTAAAGTATAATTCAATGATTGATCGTGATTTCGCGGAACAAATGCCCACCGTGCGGAGAAATATTCGTGCTACGTTGATCATCATCTTATACGCCATTCTTGACGTCAAAGAAGCTTAAGACCTCTTCAAAAAAAAAAGAAAAAAAATAAATAAATAAATCGTTCCTTCCATAAATTCGTGAGAGGAAGACAAATAATTTTCTCAAGGAAGACCCAAAGGACCGTGGAGTCATTCATCCTCGGGCTTCTTCCGCGATGACGCAAACTGCCGAACGAAACGTCGCTCGAAAACGTAAATTAATCTCGTGGGAATCTGCTTGGCCTCTAACAAGGCCCGCCGTGAACGAAAGTCAACCCTATAGGAAGGAAACATTATTCCTTTAAACGAAGTCAAAGCAAAAACGAAACAAGAAAATTTTTGTGCAATAATCGAATAATAAGAAATTAAAACGAATAGACAAATTCACGCTCGACCTGTTTCTCGGTCCGCATTGTGTCTGCCAACGTATTCGATTTAAAAGTTTCTACATCCGTAGAAACAAGTCGGGGTAAAAACCGAACAAATTTGCATTCCGTCAATAAGCACAATGTACGTAATTCGAATTTTGCCCAAAATTCGGAGCGTTTTAGTCTCTAACATCAGACGAGCGAGCCCGTGCAAACACGTAAAATATAACAATGCTGCCGGACTTTAACTCGTTGGAGTTTGCAAGGTGGAATTTCGGTTAGCATCGAAAGCTCGGCCAACTAAATTCTCTGACGGGCTACGCCAACTTTTGCCAACTTTGATCTGTATTAACGGGCCGGTAAATATGCAGAACATGCACCCGAGGACCAGCTGACCCGAAGATTTGTCGTACTTACTCTCTAACTGCTTGTAATTAACGCGTAAAAGTGAATTCAAATTCGTGTAAGTAGAACGGATTCGTCTTGCGGTGCTAGACAAATTTCTTATTCCCGAATAACGAATAAAAATGTCAGATTCGCTCGTAAATTAACTTTTGTTCGCCTTAAATTTATAAATTAAAATCCATTAACGTATTCTTTAAAAGGGTAAACTTTTGTTTACGCTATTCGATTTTTTTTTATCGATAAAAGGGTTTGAAAGCGTGGTAAATAAAGACCAAAATGAGCAGCCATAAACAAGAATTAATTGACGCACACTACTGTTTAAATTTATGGATCAATTTTCTAATTTGTAATAAACAAATTTTTGTGGAGAGTGTTTTCTTGATATGACTATCCCGCATTAATTTATGCACCGTTACAAAATTCTTTTATTAAATGTAAATCTTTGAACCATTTTTCTACAGATTTATGATCAAAATAATTAATCATCGCTAACTATTGGAAGCGATAGCTTTTATATCTTTGTCGATACGTTACTTAAAAAATACAAAAACATGTGGCGCTATCTATGGATGGGGATTTTAACTAATGTAACGGAATGCAGGTTATGTATACCTCAACGAACGACACTAAAGAAAAAGAGAAATACTGTCCAATAAAGAGAATATTTACGGATTTTACTCTTTTTTTATGGTTCATTTAATATAAAATAGTACGTTAGACACAGAAAACTCTTTGCATTTATAGAATCTGTCTTTATATTCAATCGTAAACTTTGTGGGAGGATGATGATTGGTCCATTTTGCTTACGACAAATGCAACGACTATATCGAAATTTCGATACGTCGAGTCAACTATCGATGCAAACTAACACCGGCTCTTACTAGAAAATAAACTTCCAGCAGCACGAACAATAAAAGAGATTTCGCCTCTGTTTTTTACTCTATGTTAAGACAGTGTGATTTATTGTGATCGACTGTGACTTGATCCTGTGACGAATAGTTTATTTATATTTGCTCAATCTTTATTTCGGACCAATGATTAATAATTTTGACTAGAAGTATGAGGAATTCGTATAGTATAGCCTTCACGATATAGAAGGGTCGTAAATTTCTTCGAACATTAAAACAGATACGTATTGACTGCCAAAAAGTAACATGATCAGATGCAAATAAGGACTCTGGCCATGGTCAGAACTATAGAAATAAATCTTTCACCCAGTGTCAATGTATCTACTTATTATGAACTTTAAGATACATGAAATCGATGCTTTAAGGTCTGAAGAAATTTACGACGTCGCTATATCGTGAAGACTACGGTACTCTGAGTAGACTATGTAAACCAAGACCCGATGTAAATCTTAAAATGACGTAACAGCTGATGCACTAAATATATATATATATGTATATGATATCTGGACTACATGTATCGTAAAAGGTACTTACATTACGAAAACTACGTATTTACCACCTATATAAAATAATGCGTCGAATGTAACATAAAAATCGAATACTCTAAATTGCTTTTAGAAGTTTTGATTTACTATGAAGTAGTTAATCCAAATTATACAATAGAACACTGAAGTTTCATTCCTTATATTTTACTAAAATGGACAAATCCAACAATCTACTCTCCAAAGGTATAAGTTCAAAATATTTTGCAAATTTTCTGACGTGTTTCAAAAGTATGCAACACAATTATTAATGTTTAAACAGTAGCTCTAGTAGAGCGCAATACCGAACCACAAGGTATTCCATTAAATAATCCAGAAGCTGTAGCCAAGTCAACGCAAGAGGATCTGATTGCATTGGCTATGGAAATACAAAAAGCTGACAGTTTTGTTAAAGTAAATGCATGTAGCAAGCTACAGGTAATTGCAGAGCAAATAAGATCTTTGAAGAAACAAGCTGAAACCATTCTCCTGGTACATTTCATTGGAACATGAAATTGTATCATGTTGCTTGCAATTTTGTGAAACACCTTGGACACGTGTATCACCTTTATCAACAAGAGACTGGCCAGCTTTATTTTTCTATGCTTAGTCCAGAAGTAAATTATGTTTCATTTTTAATTTTTTCCTGTAATTTTTAAAGATGTACAAATTTGCAAATTATACCGTATTGTAGGAATGGGGTAACTCAGGACCTCCTCAAATTTACAAAGGTGCATACAGATTGGAACAAGATCATTCGTGGTCCCCTTTACAGAAGATCGACGCTAAAAACAAAGAAATGGCCATGGTAGCTAAACTTTTATCGAATATTCCGGCGACTGCATCTGCGTTCAAAAGTATCGATTTAAATGTAAATATGTAATATATAAAAGAAAGCATAATACAGCAACTGTAATAAATAAAGGATCCCGCACTTTTGATATGATGTAGTTCATGATGTCTTGATGAAAAGTTCCAATGGGCCCAAGCTCGTAAATTGAACAGTTTCCGAGATATGGGGGATCAAAAGTCAATAATAGAGCGCCTTATTCTAGACTACCACATTTGAGCATATTTGAGTTTAAGAAGCACTGTTATGACCCCATGGGCCCTTAAATAATACCCCTTGACCACCTGACCCTCTGACTCCCCTTCAGGAGTCAAAATAAAAAAATGCTAAAAAGGTAAAAAATGGTTCTTTTTTTCATTGTACAAACATAAAGCACCGTCGACATTAGCATTACCCGGTGTGCACCACGAGGAGGTTGCTCGATCGAATTTTGCACACCATGTGACTGAAAAGGGCCGTTTTTATAGTTCTCTCTATTTATTTATAACAATCTCAATATTCATATTGTCTTGATGCCCCCTATTAGCGCAGATTGACACTTCGTCGGTGGATAACAGCCTTAGAAGACTAAAAGTTTATTCACGATTTCCGAATCGTACCAAACATCAAGTTCTTATTTCTCACATTCCCAAAAATGAACTGGAACTAGAAGAGGAAGTAATAAATGGTTACTACTGCATTTGTCAATCTGGTACCAAAACATTGGGTACATGCACACATATTGCAAGTGTTTTAAGGTTTTTAGGATTTGCTTGTCATCAAAGGCATGTCAAATATTCGGATGGCAATCTTCTAAATACGATCAGAGATGCCGCTAATAGAGACCATCAAGACAATATGAATGTTGAGATTCTTATGGTCGAATAGAGAGAACTATAAAATCGGCCCTCTTCAGGGCCACATGGTGTGCAAAATCCGATCGAGCAACCTCCTCGTGGTGCACACTGGGTAATGCTAATGTCGAAAGTGCTTCATGTTTGTACAATGAAAAAGAGAACCATTTTTTACCTTTTTGGCGTTTTTTTATTTTGACTCCTGAAGGGGAGTCAGAGGGTCAAGGGGTAATATTTGAGGGCCCACAGTACAACTACTAAGTTTTAAGGGGTCAAATAAATGGACAATGTACAACAGTGCTTCTTACACTCAAATATGCTTGGAAACTGTTCAATTTACGAGCTAGGACCCATTGAAACTTTTCATCAAGACATCACGAACTACATCATATCAAAAGTTCAGCTAATTTAACCGGGGGCCATTTTCCATAAGATTTGTACAGGGTCCTTTAAGTACATTTTGAAACCAAAAGTTAATATAATAAACCAAATTAATAGAGAACGTTATAATCTGAGAATATTATTATGTAATATAAATTTCTTTACCCTTCATATTTACCGTTATGTCAGTCTTTATTTAAAATTAGTCACTATATAAAAGATAAACGTTAACCTGATTAACTTTATTCTCGGAGAAAGTATTTTACACAATACGTAGCACTTAATATGCAAACAGAACTTCATATCAAGTATTCTCATTGATGCAATGAATTCCTTCCATTACCTTTTTCTTCTTATTGCTGGCATGGCATTATATTTCCAGTCTTTGCCGAAGCTAAATTTTGAAGACTGAAGTCGTCTAGAATCTCCCACATTCGCCGTGCGTAATGTCGTTCACGTAAAACGGTACTTATAAAAATCTTCTTTTGTCCTTCCGAGACTGAGAATTGTTCCGAGTGTTTTTCGAATCCGGCACGAAGCCACTGTGGCATCCACTCGAAATACGCTTTGTTCAACGCTATCAGAACTTCTGCGTGAGGCAGTAAATTGTTCCGTGGTATTACTCCACCTAATAACGGTGACACGTTACAATTTTAGAATTATTATTTCAAAAAATATATCCACAATCAGATATAGGCAAAATGTATTTATACATGTTAAATATCTCAAGTTAAGTGGAATACCCTGCTGCATATTCAGTACTTTCGATATATTTCGATTGTAAAATCAATCGAAATATATCGAAGTCATATCGATGTTCCGCATGCTTGTGTACAAGTATTAAAAGAAAATCATCTACGTACCCACACATTGTAAAATCACAGAAACGAGTTCCTGGCCGATTGGTTGAATAAATATTTCCAAGTGAGGACTCAGTTTGACAGCATTAGTGAGGAAATGCCCAGCTGCTCTGACTGTTCCAGTTTCCGGTAGCATTAAGCAATCCATTCCTGTGAAAGACATCGTGCATACCGTACCATTGAAATATACATCGAGAAGGAAAACCTAAAGCTTATAAAAATAAAAGCTTACCGCATTCTAACATTCTGGGGATTTGATCTGGGACTTGCAATAACATCCTAGTATTTTTCTTGCAAATTTGAGCCAACGATCCAAGATAAGCTTCCATCAATTCTGCCCAGTCGGATAAATTACCGTTAACAGACCTACAGGCTCTGACACCGCTTAACGTTACTGAACTTAATTCCGCGAAAATGGGCCCTATAATGTTATCGGAATCTTGTCCAAATAACACCACAAGTTGTCGCAACAAATGCAACGCGGCAGGATGGGGCCACTTTTTATATGAACCGGTCAAAATCGGAAGAAGAGGTCGTGCTTCTACTTCGGGATACGACAACGACAATAGAGATTTTTTTGCGCAAATATACATCGCTTCTAGCGTAGCATTGTCCTGACCCCACTCAGGATGTTCAACAATCTGTTTGAATATTGGCAATAGTTCATCTAACACAACCTTTCCGATTGATCCTTCCATCGTAGAAAGAAACATGCCAACCATTTTTAATTGTGTTGTTATCCCGAAACGCACCACAAACGATGGTTGTTTCAACAATGCTCGTATCTTTATTATGCATAAGCCTAACGTAGCGTCAAGGTGTGCTAACTGCTCTTCAACAGTAGATAAAGTGTTTAATAATTTACTGGCAGCAGACATCAGTCGCAAACATTCCGCACTACCGGGTGCAACATTTGGAAGTGTTTCTTCGATTGTGTTAAGAATAGATGGCGCGAAAGGTGTCATGTGTCGTCCACATTCTCTTGCTAGGTCCTTCAAAGCCATACTGGCAAGGGGTGCTGTCACGGAACCACTGACTAAACCTAAAGTCACGATTTGCAATACTCCTTCTAGCCAGGGATCCGGATGTTCCCCTATCCACTCAGCGTACGACCCTATCGTTGAACACGCGCATGCTAAAAGCTGTAAATGTTTAATAAATTTTCAAATATCTATAATATTGTAATTATGTTCTAGAAAATATTTGGCAAATTTCAACGTACAGTGTCCCCTCTAAACTGTTACAGACTACTCCATAATTCGATTATGCACAATATAATAGTACAAGAGAACTTACCTCTCTCGGATAAAAATCATAAGGAATATGAGTAACAACCAAATCCATCAAAGCAAGAATGTAATGCGACTCTTCTGCACTAGCTCTGTCTGCCACAGCTCTGTCTGCCACAGCTTCGAAGGCATGTAAAGTCGATTCCACGTCAGTCCACTTTTCCGATCTATCCAATGTTAGACACAATCTTTGTCCGAGAAGTAATAATAAATCTTGTCTCAATACTCTATAACAATAATCTAAGGTGTCTGCAACATCTTGTCTATAACACCTAAAGTGTTCCCGTTCATCCGCGTCCCCGGCTTCGCTCGGAGATGAAGGAAGCGTTGATTTTCGTAATAATGCATGCGCTAATCTTGCATAAATAGGTTTTAAAGCTACTAAAGCATAACTCTTGTAAGGTCCGTCGAGCGTAGCAGTATCATCTTGTAATATGTACCAAAATCCAAAAGGTATACAACTCCGAGTTTCGTCCGTCGGATACCGTCCTTTTTGTTCCGAACACTGTAATAGTAACTCAATGAGGTTTTGTGCAGTCCATTTTTGCGTTTCACTTTCTTCTTGCACCAAAGCAATTAAAAATTCTCTGCTACAAGTTTCGCCAATAGCAGTTAAGATTTCACAGAAGTACTGTCCACTGTATTGTTTGGCAATAGTTACCAAACTTCGTGCCCAATCCCACAATGTTTGTGGTCTATTCCTAAGTTCATGATGTGTTACTATTATAGTCAAACATTCTTGAACAACGTCCCAACCTCTAGCAATTTCCTCGTTCGAACCTTCTCTTTAATTCAATACAAAATATATATATATATATATTTCATGCTGCTAATAAGTTTCAAATAAGTATAAATATAGCGCCTATACCTGCTTGGCGCATAATACGCTGCAGCAATTAGCAAATGAGGATATATTTGTCCAATTGCGTCTAAAGGAAGTTGATAAACTTTGAGCCACGATAATGCGCATTCCATTGCTAACAGGTGCAATGCATTGCCATTGCCTTGGGAATTTGGGTTGCACATTGAGAAAACTTGTTGTAGAAGCCAGGTTATTCTGTACCAACCATTGCTTAACGTTTTGGATAATTTGGCACGTTTTGCTTCAAACCTCCTTTCTGACTAATTAAAGTATCGAAAGGAGGCATTAATTTGGAAAGCAACGAATAGTATCATACTGTATCTATATATATTTTACTTTTACCGGTAACTCAGAAAGTGTGCGTAGTAACAATTCCAACATAGGAAACGAGTCATAAGGCAACATCCTCATGAGTTCATCCACAACATTTTTATCTTTTTCCTCATTTTCAGTGGTACAGGCATTTGCCACAAATCCAGCCAACTAAAACCACAAAATTTATTAATACACCATGATAATATTAAAGTAACCTGAATAGATTTGTAACTAATATAAGGAACATTACTGCTTGACAGAGTTTGGAAAGGACAAACTTGGGTGTATTTGGTTGTTTCATAATACTGAGCAAACGCTCTTGCAGAACAGAGTATTCATTTTTAGGCACTTCATCCCATTGTTTAGAAATCTTGATGTGCAATGTGGTAGCTGCGAAAAATTGCAATTCCCACGACTGCAACATGAATCAAGATTGTTAATCATAACATGGTAACTGATAAGAATGAAGTAAATAATTTATTTACTTTGGAAGGGTCAAGGAGCTCCCAGACAAATGTCCAAGCTTCTGGTGAAGCCTGCACCCGTAGAAGCCAAGAATGCACCTCATTGTTTCCTTCTGCATAAAACTGTCTCACAGCCTGCTCAACTACAGTTGTATAATCCATCACCGACTATTTGTTTATCATGTAAAACCTTCTGTCACAACGTTACAGTATTGTTTGTCACTATTCTACAAGGGTCTCATTGTCAGCAGGGAACCGCTTTTGCCGCTCAGATTTATTAAGACTTTGTACTTAGTTCGTTTCGTATGTCATATCACGACGAACTTTTTTATTATCTTCCTGGTTAATCATTTAAGTCATAGTTCCAGGGAATTTTCGCGTCAAACTCTTTAATCCTTGTTTACACGATCCTTTCCAGCCGCCTTGGAAATCCTATGAGTTGCGCAAACGAAACCTTCTCCCTGCTCTCACTATCGGTGAGAACTAGAGATGGCGTGCAAAATCACTAACAGTGATTTATCACAGTGATACAGAGATGCCAGAAAAGCACCGCCGGGTGCACACGCACACATGCCAGATACGCGTACGTGAGCTCGTGGAGTTTCGGAAAGTCGACAAAGGCAAACTAACGCATGCCCTCTTTCTCGATTCTCCGAAGCTGCCCGAAGTAATTTCGGATCGCCTTGTGGGAGTCGAGAGAGAAAGGTTCACATTTGCCTTCTCGCTCTAAACAACTGAAATCCGACCTCCCGTCAACGGCATACGATTTGGATTCTCGAGCCGAGATTCTCGACTGCCCAGGCATTTTTACTTTCCGACCTATGTAGGCGCACATAAGCAAAGTACCCATAATGAAAAAAAAATTTTGTAAAAATCATTTTATGGAAATACACGTTTTAAGACCTCCTGATCATATTTTAATTATTGAAAAAAAAGACATTTTTTTTTATTCCCATGTATGAGCACACATATGTATATTATTAATACGATTGAATATAAATAGCTGAATGAATTTAAATGAAACTTTACATTTAAGTTTTATGTTCTCATTTCAAAGGCGTGTGGACGGATTCAAATACGTGAACACTAAACGTAACGATGTAATTATATTATTTAATATTTACTAACTATTTAACATAAAGAACATAAAAGAAAGACATAAAACGTAAACGTAAAACTGTGATTGCTCTCGACTAACGTTCGATACAGAGTGACGTTCCTGCAGTCAAAGTCAAACAAAACGCACGTTCGAGACGCAGTCTCTAAAACGTATTTCAGCTTAAACCTAAACACCTCACTCGATACCTACTCTAGCTTAGACTAAACACTCCTATCGACGCAAACGATAACGGTTCTCCTAGCCACACACATACACTCCTTACAGATTATACCTCTTGTTTCATAGTTGTTCCGATATATAGACATAATGTATAAAAAATCTTTTAAATGTTTCATACAAATCTTAGGACGAATTAAATTTTATATAAAAAAAATTATATAAACTTTTTCTCTATCTTCTCTAGAAAAGAAAACATTAAATGAAATCTTATACATTACATGCTTACTTAAATCGCATTGAAAACGAATACCACAAATGTTTTAGAATAATGTGCAAAATGTGATCGCGATTTTCGCTAAGACAAATTGAAAACTCGTTTCTAACAAGGAAAAGTTGGAATGGTACCAGGTTTTGGGTTAGGTTTTACTTTGAGATATTATTAAAGTTATTACAGGTACTTATTTTCAGAAATAGAACTATGTTCACCAATAATCAGCGTGGCGTGAGTGATGAGGTCTTTGCCTGCAAGTTCCGAACTTCTTCTGCTCTGCTGGTTCGAACCCTGCTTGAACTTTTTTTTTTTATTTTTTCAATCATATTTTAAGCGTACACTAAATATGACATTATATTTTTGTCTGACCTTCGAATATTTTTTTTTAAAGTTAAATTTAACCGATTACATTTAACATATGTTATTTTCAATGTACGAAGTACATGAATCTGGATGGTACTTTTCACAAAAACAGTCAAAACATAAAAATTTCAAGCACCACGTACATTTACTGAAAGTTTTATTTTCACAGAAATTACAAAATTTTGTATTTAACTCTGATGGAAAGGCCGCTTCATTTACATTGATAAAATGTGAACGATTTTCGGATAGTCGTACCTTGTAGCTCGTACTTTTTACCTTATACTTCAGGTAAAAAGGGATATAGCTGAGAAAAACAGTTTTATGACATTACCTGCTAACTTATATTACTGTTCTACAATGAAACGCTATGTTTTGTACCTTTAAAAATATTCGACTATGTGCTTTTAAAATTTAAGATACAACCCATACTTTGTATTAAACTGGCAAACGGGATCACTTTTCCTTTGTTTCTAGTTAGTTCTATTTAGTTCGTCATAACCAATTGATACGGTTATTTCAAAACAATCGAGGAAAATCATTATTAATTAATTTCTGCAATTATTAATTCTACTGTTTTGTTTATGTTATAAAAGTAAGAACTCTTCTTATTGAAAAATACCACAGCGTGCACAATACTGGTAAAGAGTGGAATCTCATTTTAATTTATTAATTTTCAATCTTAAAGTATTTTGATTTTCAAAAATCGTATTAATAATATACATATGTGTGCTCATACATGGGAATAAAAAAAAATGTCTTTTTTTTCAATAATTAAAATATGATCAGGAGGTCTTAAAACGTGTATTTCCGTAAAATAAATTTCACAAAATTTTTTTTTCATTATGGGTACTTTGCTTACGTGCGCCTACATAGGTCGGAAAGTAAAAATGCCTGGGCAGTCGAGAACCTCGGCTCGAGAATCCAAATCGTATGCCGTTGACGGTAGGTCGGATTTCAGTTGTTTAGAGCGAGAAGGCAAATGTGAGCCTTTCTCTCTCGACTCCCACGAGGCGATCCGAAATTACTTCGGGCAGCTTCGGAGAATCGAGAAAGAGGGCATGCGTCAGTTTGCCTTTGTCGACTTTCCGAAACTCCACGAGCTCACGTACGCGTATCTGGCATGTGTGCGTGTGCACCCGGCGGTGCTTTTCTGGCATCACTGCATACGGGATAAGATATAAACCCGTTCAATTCGGTCCTATTCGTAATTCGTTGCATATGTACTATATTTTATTTATTCTTTGTTCAATATAAAGAAAGAGTTCACGTATACAAGAACCACGTGACGGGGATCAAAACATATCGATAGTCAACTACATATACTGCAATATTACGCCATATTCTACCAATTGAATCACCAATGTCAGAAAACTTTGAGCCTTACACAGATTTAGTGAGCAAATCAAAGGCGTACGAACTGTCTGCTACACACGTACTTACTAAGCCTGCAGCAATAGTGGGAAACAACCTTTAAGATTTGTCAGCCATCTTACTTTGGCTTACTACTAGCGCTACTCAGTAATCATTGCGTACTAATGAAAGAAACAAGAAAATGGCCACGATATGTATCGATATATATCGATGACATTTGTAATAAATTTCAAGTACATTTTTATTGTTTCATTGGTTGAGTGTTGAGCTGTAAAGTTATTTCGGATAAATCGACACACGAATATAGTTTTCAAAATTTATGTATATATAATTATATACATATCATTTGTAATGGAAGAAATATTTCATACACTAATGAACTATAATGAGAAATATTTATAGTGCAACCAATTTATTAACATTCTGTGTAACTGTGAGGTTGCTCATCTATAAATATCTCAAGTAATATGCAAAATATCTCTATTAGCATATTGTACGATTTAATAAGTGCTTGTTTTTTAAAATTTCGTTTAACAATTCAGTCATTATTTAACAGTTCAATGCAATCGTTGCACTTACTATTAAGAATATACTATTAAGAATATACTATTGTTTATTTCTCTCCTATGGGCAGTAGTTGTAAATGTTTAAAAGTAATGTATTTACGTTTGTGCAAGAAATACAACTTTGACAGTTAAAATTCTAGAAAAATCCAGATAATATTCAAATGTTGCTTTTGTGTAACTAGTTTTTTTTTTATGTTTCAAAACTTTAATTATTTGCAGTATGCTTAAGTTATATAAACACACTATTAAGGCGAATCAGTCCTCTACCTGTATCTCTGCTCGAATCTAAAGTGGAACAATATAATGCAAATAATTATTCTGGGAAAATGAAATTATTGTACAAAGCATAAATTATTGATGAACACTCAATTTCTCCAACATGATATTTGCTTAAATTTAATCTAAAAATGATTTAAAAAAAAAAAAACCTCAGTGAAGCGGTATAAGTTAACATCGCGTACTGCGATGATTTCACTTTATTTTCTTATGGTGTCGCATACGTCATGTTGTATTTACTGCGTGTGCTGAAACAGAGATAAGTTATTATTGCAATACGTGAAACTAGAATTTTAAATGCATATAAATTAATGTATTCGTACATGGTATTGGTATTCTGAGTGGCGCATTGTCCTTTACAATACATTCGTGCGTTCGAGTACGAAACAAATATTGTACTAACAATTGTTTGTCCTCTCCGACGCATGGATCATAAAATCCAGGTAACTGACTCTGTGAAATATAAAAATGTAATTTTGATTTTAAGAAGCAGTTGATCAGAATCCTTATAGTACCTACAAACACACAAGATACTATACCTTGGATACATCGTGTAGAACCAGTCTAGAGTTTTTCACCAAACATTGTAAAGGAATGGTTACGTCTATTACTTCGTCCCTATGTAAATGTTCATCCGAAGAAGATCGGTCCTCTTGAGGATATACAAATCGTCCGTACAAAGCTTTGGTGATAATTAATCCTCTTTTCGACTCCTCTTCGGTTCTTATTCTGCTAACTGTGGCTTTCATTAATTCGGTAGCAATTTTAGCTTCTTTTCGTTTTTCTTCCGTTCTCGATTTGTTCATCTCTTTTTGTTTCTCTTTTTCGCGCTCCTTTCGTTCTTTCACCAGAGGATCGATCACGACTTTTTTTACGATAGTCCAAGTGACTATAGGAAGTACAGTGGCATAAAACACAGGGGCCGGAAGAACCTCGTCGCTCAAGTGAATCGAAAACATGTACGCTTGTGAGGCACGATTCAATTTCACTTTTAGAGTGACTCCTGTTGGTAATCCGACGCGTACAGCCGCGGAAAGACTACTATGCCGCGATACTTTTTTCTCTGCTCCGTATTCCACGAATACTCCGAATGTTCCGGCCCTAGTAATCATGAAACGTTAACATTAACACAGTTCGAATTATAAAGCAATTTACTAGCGGTTACTAACTTTATACTTCCGCGTAGCTTCATCTGCTTCTCCTCCATTTTATAGGTATAATTAAGACTGACAAAAGACTGTAAGATACCCAAGTGTATTGATAATGCAGTATACGAACTAGAAGTATCTCTTACTATCATTGTACTCATAGCACTTTGTATTCCTGCTCTATATGTGAGATACCCTACTGTATGTTTATCTAATTGCATTGCAAGGGCTGTAATTGATAAAATATAGTTTAACATTTTATATTTACTTTCGTACTTTTGTTACTTTCATGTAGCGAGAATCATACTTCCTACAAGACCGGGTCTTATTCCGCGTGACGTAAATTGTAATATCGTCGCACCGTCACAGAATAATCTCCTTGTTAATGTGCGGAAACCTTTTATGGATACCATCGGTCCATTGCCAGCACCCACATCAAATTCTACCCAACCTTTCGACGAAAGCAATCGTCTCGCGGAGACGTTTATAGAACCAGAACCTGTGCCATTTTGTGTACCCAACTGACCATACATAGTTACAGTGTCTCTTAAAGTAAGAGGTGCTTCAATAGACTGTGTAAATGTCATTCCACTGACTTCAATGCACGAAAGGAGATCCCTACTACATTTTAAAATACAATATATACTCTAGTATATATATTTCTATTGGATATCATTGCACATTACCTATCTTCATAGTCTTCATCATATCTGTTAAACAGATCTGTAGCATTTACATTCATTGTAATGCTGCCTTTGGGATTCGTGTGTTGCTGTAGCCTCCTCTCTTCCCTTTCTTGCACAAGACGTTTATATTCTTCTCTGATCTCCTGAGGAGTTTTTGTACGTTGCACAATTTCCCAACCTTCAGTTTCTAATCCTCTAATTCCCACTGAATCATAGATAGCTCTTTGATGTGGATCGCTTAAAACTATTGATCAAACAATGTTTTATTCGAACATGGATATGTATCAGAATGTACTTGCAACATTTTAGACAAACCTTCATAGGCTTTTTTCATGCGACTGAATAAAACTTCTGCCTCTTTTTTGATTAAAGGATCTCTGTGCTTATCAGGATGATATACCCTGCTTTGCCTGTGATAGGCATTGCTAATTTCTTCCGCGGTTGCCTACAATCATAACTACCATGACCAAAAGATCTCAGTGCCTTAATGTCAAGTATATTGCAGGGTTTTCATAACTCATTTCTGGCTTTTTATCTATCAGTTAATTTAAAAAATTTTTTTGACAAAAATTCTGATGCAAAATTCAAAGTTACCACTCTGCAGGAAAACATTCGACGACCTATAATTGTATTACATTTTTTCGTAATTATGACTAGTGGCGTTTGCAAATGAAATTTGGTTAAACATTGTACTAGTACTTTGTACAAAGGGATATACATCTATTCGTTTCCAATGACACAAACTTCGATGAAAATATCGTTTTGAAATGCATATTCTGTCATGTTTCATCAAAAGTATAAGAATATAGATTAGAATGAAATAACAAGGTCGCTTTGTTCCACGAGTTGGCGATCGGAGTCAGTCTCGGATTGTTGTATTTCGAAACGATTTGAATCGCAAAACTTTCCATCTGAACAGATGCATCGTTATATTCCAATAATTTTAAATATTATTGCAAAGGGTACGATTACATCAGACTTCGGGAAGAAACGTGTCACGTGGAGGGCTCGGAATTGATCTCTACCCTTGACCGGGAAAATGGGGAATATTCGTTGGGAAAACGCGTTTGCCACGATTGCTCACATTTTTAGAAATATTCAGGAATGCGTAGTAGTCATCTTCGACCGGATTATCCTGATCGCTATCGTCGTCCATGTCAATTTTTCGAGTTTCTTTAGCTAGCAATACACTCGCAAGATGAACACCAATATTTTCCCGACTTCGTCTTCTGCTTCTATAGGTTACGAAAGACTCGACCGAGAACCGGCATCTTTTAGGTATACATTTACCGTTAGATGGAGCCTCATGATACTAATGAATCTTCACTAGCGGCGTATCAACTATATTACCGATCGGCACCTATTTCCTGATTTTATATTTTATTTACTTCTTAATTTCGATATTAAATACAGAAACTAATAACGGTATTCATTCAATAGGGTGTTACATATTACTTATATATGGGACCGAAACGTTTGGTGACTTGGGCGTTGGCCCGATCATCTAGCGTACAACCCCTCGAACGGGGTTGCCTCATGCCATATGTGAGCACCCGGCCCAATTTTCATCACCTCATATGGTAATGCCCCGCCACTGTAAGGGCTCAATTTCTAGTATATAAAGGCCGCGTTTTCTTACTCGAAGAACTTAGTTTTTCTACAACTCTCGACACAACGTTACTTTGACACTCGAGGCAAGATCGGGCTATAATCCCCATCAAGCAACGTAGTACCTATCTTAGCGGTTTTATTAGCGAGTGTTTATTAGACTAATCGAGAAGTAGAGAAAAAGCCGACATAGAACTTTCGCCGTCAAGGCAACCTAGCAATAGTACCAGTTCTGTTAATTGACCATTGTACTTGAGCATCGATTAGAATATATTCAAATAGTTATCCTCACTTGCATTATTGAACCTTATTAACAGTAAGACTAAGAGTATCTCACGAACCCGGTACACCTTTACCGCTCGATGTGTACCATTACGATAGAGCAAGATCCTAAAAATCTACGTGGTTCTCAGGGTATAAAGCCCCTGGTTTGTCCACTCCTTCTAGCGGCTCACAGGGTATGGAGCCCCTGGTTCGTCCGTGAAACCATACATTTTCCTTATAAATCTAACCTCGTGGCTCCCAGGATATAGAGCCTCTGGTTCGTCCACATAATCTCCTGCTACGGCCCCCAGGGTATAGACCTGATTCGTCCGGAACTCCTCTCTCTTTCCCAACCATACCTAAAATCACCAGTCGAGTACTGCCCTCGACCGAATCCAGGATCTCGCGCTTCCGCTCGTAACAAGGGTATGATCCTAGATCCCAGATCTCTTCTACACTGGCAGACAAAATTATAAGACACTCTGAGAATTACTGGAATAAATATTGTTTTTATAATTATTCTTAAGTAATATGTTTAATTACATTAACATTTCAATTAAAATCAGAATAAATAAAATTACCATAATTTCGTAATTTTAATAATGGGTTCTACTAAGTTGTTCACAGATGCTGTGTACATTAAGGTCTAAAGTTGGTATATGTCCAGTATTATGATTGTAGTTATACTGTCAGTTATCATGCGTTATCATGCTGGAATATAAAATTTTCTTTAACCATTCTACTACCGTAGTTCTGAATTTGTTCTTGGATTAGTTTGAAACTCCACAAAAAGTGTTTCTTCCATCATTTTTTGGTCGAGTAAGCGCACAACTGTGATACAATAGCTTGCAAATGGCTTGTCAGGGAACGTGACCGTGTGCTAGCCGGGGCTCTGGCTCGGTTGGCCGCGACAAACGAACCACCATAAAAAAGTAGTAAAACCCAGAGGGGGAGAACTAAGGCTCTTGTCGGAAAGAAAGGGCACCTTAGTGCTCGAGAGTCAGTTTGCTTTGACATTCCCTAATCAAAACAAGGAGTCCCATTTCTCTTTTTTCTCGTTCCTTGCGTTCGTTCAGCCAGCCGTAATTTTTAAAGAGCTCGAAGGATTGAGTTTCCTCGCAACGACTGCCATTTAGCTATACTAATTTATCGTTTCTCTATAGGCGTGACTTGTCGCGAACGAGCAACAGGAATTTCACGGCGCCCAAAGGGGACCGTATGTACTTACTTACGTCTCGATTTTCGCGATGACCCTAACACCAATTGTCCAAATTTTCATCATTTTCAAGGCGTTCATTTCGACATTATGCATGTTGTTTTAATTATAAATTATATATTTTCAAACGACGTGTAATTCGATTTACTAAAATTATAAAATTGTTATATAAAATAAAGCAGTCAAAATACAGTTTTATCGATTATGAAATAAATAATCGGGGAACTGTATTGATTTTTATTTTGGCGTTATTCTTCTGCTTGGAATCGGAGTATCGTGCAAGCGATATTAATTGGACAAGTAAAGCCCACGGTGTTTTAACAGAAAATTAACCGCGTTCACGGCCACTAATGGCAACGATAATGTTAAGAGGCGAAGAAACAATCGACCGGACTGACTGGCCAGTATTGTTAAACACGCTCATTGTACTGGTCTAACAATACACTGTTACAGTGACAACATCCAAGCTCATGAGTCCTAGCTTTCAATCAACAATCCGTTATCAGCATTGAAAAATATCCGGCTGTTCCGATGCGACGCTCCTTGTCTTTCTATCCTAACACGTGAGTCGTTTCACGTTACAAATCAGTGGCTTTCAATAATCATTGTCGCTCCGATGAACAAAATTTACATACGAACCGTTCACAAGCCAACTCGATTAACTACATTTTTTCAAATTTTATCATTGAATAGTCGTTCAATTATTTTTGTCGATTCCAAACTTTTCATCATTGCTAGCGTACGATTATAATCCTTATATTTTTGAATACATTTAGAAGTCGAGGAAATGCAAGCCTTGCTCGCAGAGTATGCATTTAATGGTCGTTATCAATATCCTGCCTAAATCACGTAGCCTCATATTACATAATCAAAGTCACGTATCGCCAGGCCGTTTCTTCGAACCGAACACCTATATCACTTGGAAGTATTTATGTTGCCCGCGACGAATGGTTGGGAACTGGGAGTTGTTTATTTCCCCAGTGATTTCGATCTCGATACCGCCTGACAACGTCGTGAAAAGGAGCCAAATCGTTCCTTGAAACTCCACTCTGAAATACAAAGGGACCATTCTCTATTTAGAGTATCGTTTTCCAGGCTGCATTTAAAATTTTCAATGAAATAAAATTACAGAGCTTGGAAATTTAAACGTTGTTCGTGTGCATTCATGTTTCACATGAATTGTCTACAAATTTGTTTTCTTGCTACGTTTAAAAAGACGTTAATAGTTAAAAAATAAATATTTGTAGGACTCTTGTACACCCTCTACGCGCGTCACTGCGTGTTAATGACAGAAAATAGTAAACAGTCGATCTGAAAGGGGTGCGATTAGAGTGGTCGTGAATCCCGTGTAAGGTAGGTACAATGCAGCTTCTTTAGATGATGCAATAATTGTCAGAGTCCAGGAAAACGTTTACTGGGCCGGCGCGTGCAGCGTGTGCAGTCAGTGCATCAGATCGGATCTTTCGTCCAATGGAAGAGCTTATTGTACCGCAGTCCCCGCCCAAAGCATGGCGACTGCTTTTCCTTCCCCTTTATTCTACTGCTTGAACGGTTCTCCGGCTTATTCGCTGATATTCCGTACTTTGCATGTTCGCGAACGTGGTTTTGATGGATCAATTAATTGGCAATAATGGGACCAATTCACTGATATACTAATTAATACCAATACGTATCAATACACATGCATTGCTTGAAAATATCAAACTGGTATTAAAATAAATTGTCATCGGTATTAGTTCGACGCATTTAACATTTTGTCTAATATCGATAATATAATTCGTACGTCAATTATCATCGATAGAGCGAGATAATGATGTAGCTAGTTTGCTATAGGTCGCTAGGTCGTGGACTATTCGAATGATTTTGATTAAATATTTGTTTAAATAGTTACTCAAATAACTTCAAATCGTTACTAATTATGTTTCATATTCAGACAGTTTATAGAATATTAATATTGGTTCCTCCGTGTCCTACAAGTTATGAATGTAATTAAACAGGTATTAATTTTAATGTAATCGATAGGTATTGATGCGGCAGCCGCATGTCTCAATTAAAGCTGAAAATAATGGAATAATTTAATATTAAAATATTTTATGGGTATTCGAACGCTACGAATATAATATAAATTAGTATTAAGTAATGATAGATGAACTTAATAGTGAATAATACTTACCTAAACATACAAATGAGGTTCCTTTTGAATAATTTAAAGTAGCAAACCTTTTGTAGAGTTTCACATTTTGCGAGTGTTTGATGGAAAGTATATTATGACTCGTTAAACTCGGAGTCGCGTGGCTGTAAGGAGAATCAGCAAGTCTGCGATCAGACCGAGGCTATGTATTCAATGTTGAAATGAGGTTCCAGTGGATTCAGCGACTTCTCCGTGAGTCTTGCGTTGTTAAATTCTGCTAATTCGATTATAGGTAACGATTATTATGCGAAACAACGATTGCTCAACGCGATTTCTTAAGACTCACCTGACCGCAATTACATAATCCTTATTCTTGCAACATTGAACCAGTTCTTTTTCGTCGATGCGATAATAAAACGGCTTACGAAGCATCCCTCGTAACACTAAAAAATGAAAGAATGCGTTCTAAAATGTCGGTCAGAATCTTTGAGAATTTCATTTGGGTTAAGAACAACGATCACGTGACTCTGAAAGATATAAATAATGATATTTGTTAAAACAAATTGTACATTTTTCTAACGTGATTTCATTGTCGGCGTGTAGGCATTTTTTAGACACGACAAAGAAAGCGAAAAACGCATTCTAAACAGTTCTTGTCCGGTACAGTATTCCCTTTCGGGTTGTCACAAATTAAGGTGCAGAGATAACTTAACAAGACACGAAACAGCTGACAGTCTTTCAGATTTTCCTTACTCGTTAAATAAATGAATAACAAATAAAATTTCAATAATCCCCATTTGATCAACTCTATTTCTTTCAAACATCTCTGGAAGCAACTGCGGTCGTCAAACCTGCAATATTCGATTTCTCGTGAAGAAGAAATCGCTCCAAATCGGTTACAATCTCGTTTCCGCGAGGGGAACTTCCGATCTTTGGTAAATCGAGCCAAAGTTGGTTGTCGAAGCTAAGGTACATAGCCTCAGGGTCAGGATTCGATCCTGTTCTCGGTCGGTGGAGGCAAAGGAGGCGGAGAAACAGCGTTGAACGAAACGCTGGAGGGCGTCGATAAGTTGGCGGGTTCGCGAGCATCGTGACTCCGCCTACGCGCGCCTCTACCCGCTCCAAAATGCTCGCTTGGTCGGAACGATCCCGATCAGTCTCAATCTTGGCTGGCTTTCCTCTACGGACGCGTGTTTCTAACGCATACTCGTACCGTTTACGAGGTATTCCTCTAAGTTTGAACGCGCCGGAGCGCTCGCGAAACGTCGCCGGAAACCGCGGAAAAAACAGTGTCGTGATATTTGAGCATCGTCATCGGAGTGCTGCAGCGAAGGTAAACATCTCTGGTGTTCTATCTTCTTGTGACCCGGCCGATCCTTCAGCGTCTTTAATCACCTCCGCTTCTGTGGCTCAACCTTAAGAATCTCTGGTGCTTGCTATCGGTGATTTATCTCGAAACTCCTGAAGCTACCCGAGGTTCAAGTTCAGGATTCTCTGTCGTCCTAGCCACGTTTGTTCAGGAAAGTGGTGTTTATAGTTGGATAAGTACTAAAAGTACCCAAGAAGGATGTTCTACAGATCGATAGGAACGTTGTACAGGTATTCTCTTTGCCGCGTTTGTAATAATCAGATCTTTTTCCTTGTCATTTAAATTTGGAGTACGAGTCTCTTGTGACTTCATCTCGAAACTTATATGGTGAATTTTGAAACGACCTGTAATAAACGTAAACAATGTTATTAACGAGGATAACACTGCTAATATTCTTGCTGCAATTACATTAAATCCACGCGCTAGTTTACGCGAACCTGTCAAAGGATTGTCATCATTTAATTTTATCACAAGAACTTCTAACGACAGGCTACGAAATGTCGCGTAATATTTAATGGCTGGGTTCACTGTGCTATGGAAAATAATGGATTTCTATACAATTTGTTAGAGAATCGATGATGGCCGTTATCGATACGAACATATTGTTTTGTCTTTCTGTTGTTGTGCAGTCCAAATATGTCTCCCTGAGAATACGCATCGCCTTTGTATGCACACGTGTTTAATTTACTTCTAAATATACGTTTATATTGAACAGTTATATCGAATGTGTCAGCTCATTACAAAACCTCAACACAATTATTATTTACCTGTTAAAAATCCTTATTGAGTACGATCTGTTCCATCGATGGTCTTGATACTTGATGTACCATAATAGTGTGGAAACTGTAACAAGTGGTAGTTACTGCATATTATTACAAAACTATATAGAAGGAGAAACAAAAATAAAGAAATAAATTAGTATTAACAAAATTAATATAAAAAATAAACTTACGCTTAAAGTTATATGTCGATCCGCAGTATTTATCATTCATATTGGTTAAATAAGAAATAATAAGTTTTCACTTTATTTGTATTCCCAATTAATTTTGAAGCATTTCACTTTCGATTTCCTGTTACTTATCTCTCAATATCTGAAGACATTTTATTTTGTAGTTAAACTCGAAATACAATATCTCGAGACTGCAAGGATCCCCATTAGTTTTCAAAGCGACTTTAGAATTCGTTTAGAATCTATTATCACTTCATAAAAGAGAAAATGAAGCGAAGATAGTCTTCTTCTTGTCGTCTTTGGATGTTAATATTACAAATTTAATTCTTAGTATAATTTATGTTGAAACGTTGAATTTGATCCTTCTATGGTTTTTTATTCTCTCGATGCGATGGTTCCGTCGGATACCAATATGTCCTCCTCCGAGTCTGTGCTCTCGCAAAACATCTGCCCAGATATTTATTTTGCAGAGTGTTGATCTAACATCTCGTTCACCCGCGTCACAATAAACGTTTCACGAGTGCGGAATATATGAATGAAGCGGTTTACTATCGTGAAACGAACGAGGATAAAAGGAAGCCGAAGCGTGCCGCAATTTTGTATAATATTTAAGTATGTATATCTAAAAGGCTGGACAGGCCCGAACGCGAACGAGTTTGTAAACTTCGTTCTGCGATCGGACGCGATTCCTATTAACTCGAGACACGATGTTTACTAAACAATGAGATAAATGTTTCTTCTCGTGCAGCGGAGATAACAAGCTTTCTTAATTACATCGAAAGGCCGCACAGCGTGCTTGGAAAGCAGGGAAACGAAAATCTTGAAAAAATTTAATTTCAGAACTATTAACGAGTCTGATCGATCGCGATCCAGAGACGCTTGATCTTTGTTCTCATTAATGCTGGTAACTCTCGGGACTGGCTCAAATTAATTAGTGCCAGCGATATCCGTTTTTGCAGCTACGTTCATGTTATCGGCTCTGTTGTTATTACATACTAGCCTGCTGCTAATATTAATGACAAAGAATCGATATTAATACCAGTTTGACTAAAATTAGGTAATGCAAATTGTTTCTCGGTTAAACTCTTGTCCGATTCACAATTATCTTTCTTTTTGTATTCATTTCCAGTAATAATAGAATTAATATTCTCTTTTTGCTAATAGATTGTTCTAATAACCAAAACGAATTAACAATTTTTATAACAGTCCCCAGCGATATTCTAAAAGTATAATTGGTATCGCTTCTATTTCTTTAGGGTCAGTAGAGTCAATTGTACTTGCATTACTAGCGATAACAATATCTGTATTACCAATATGCAAGTCTCTCAGAAGCCAGACCGATATTCGCGTAATAAAAAGTAGAGGAAATTAGCGCTACAAACATTGTTTCTTAACGTTCAACTGAAATCGAAAAATTTACGGAAAGAGCAGTAGATCTGACAAGTTCGCATATTGCTAGACAATTCAGAGTATTAGTTGGTTACTAAGAACAGCATCCCCAATTAAATAAAACAAATACTAACAATAAGAAATTCTAATTCGTTCTTCCCGATATCAGTGTAATTTCTCATTAACGGTGACCCGAATCCTGATTAAGTGCCATCAACAGCTCGTAATGGCCGGTCGGGTCCAGAAATAGACCCGTTTGACGGGCCGCGTGCACCCTCTTATTGCCGAAATTTACGGGACATTCTCTCCGGAGGACGTTCAGAGGATCCTCTTGTCGGCCGCCGCCGGAAGTCTCGGCGATTCTCCCGGGAACAGAATCCCCTTCCTCATGCTCAGCTCTAAGTGCTCAGCTGCTCTTCGTTCGTCACGAATCCCTTCCGAATACATAGCTGGTTGCCGTGTCAAACTTCTTGTCCCGCTGAATCTCGTGCCGTTGCATCGGCGGCTTTGAGCGAAACGTAGTCGTTGTCGTCCGGGACACGAGTTTCCATGAACAGAATCGTTCGAGAGGCTCTGGCTAGCTTCCCATTTCTCACGATGCCCCAAGTTTTGGTTGTTTCCTTGCCGGAGATTGGTCGACACAACTGTTTTCTGAAAACAAAATCATTCGGGTACGCTCCTTCCATTGAAGGGGAATTGTACAGAAAGGATAAAATAAATATTTTTCAAATGTAACATACAGCCAGCAATATTGAACGAATAATAATACTCTTGTAGAAAATTATAATTTATCTGCATGTAAAATGTTTTTCATTTTGTTATAGATCATACGTGGGCACGTTCAATCCAGTGCGTCGCGAGGATTCGATTCTCTCATACTTGACCGTTCGTCAGACAGAGAAATCTAATTTTGAAGATGTAACGTCGATCGGCCAGGGTACACCTTGCCTAGCAATAGTGTGGACAATGACCGATCGTTTATTCGGAAATTGCTAAGTGTCAGTGCGTTGGAAGAGGATCGGGGCTGGTTTCGCGAGCTTCCGTGAACCGGGAAGCTGACCATTACCGAACAGTGGAAGGTTTTTCCGCGTATTGGGAGGACCTCGCCGTGCAGCGACGCGTAAATGCAGCTGCATCGCCGGCAAGCGTTTTCATGAATTACACGGACCTGGAAAAGACGAAAATGGTCTCCCACGTTATTCCAGTTGCTGGGGTAAGTTCGACAAAATGAAATTATCAATTTCGGAAAAAATCGCCTCTTCTGCTTTACATCATTCGCATAACATTTCTTAGCGATCAACCATTTTTCGTGTACGAAACATTGATAAGTTCGAACGTCGATCAATCGAGAAATCTGAATCGTCCATCGGTTAGCATCGTGTTGTTTTTGATTACGGGCAATCGACAGCGACTTTATCGGAGCGCCGCGACGCTAACTACGAAGTTCGGAATGGTGGAGCGATTTTTAAATAATTTTCCCATTTTTTCAACCGTCGTTGAACGGTGTTCGCCGAGCGAACGATACGAGGCGGTCGATCGGCGTCATTGCAGGCCGCTTATCGTCGCACGGAGGGAAAGAAAAAAAAAAAGAGAAAAAGCGTAGGTCGTGACCTCGAAAATTTCGCAACTATCGGATTTGCGTCTTCGCTGAGGCTCCGTGAACCGATTCCGCCTGGTGTTCTCGTTTCCATTTCCAAGTATACGCTCGAGCCACGATGTTCGTGCCATCGTTCGTCGGAACGGCCGATCGATTTCGACGCCGACGACTTATCCGGCGGTCCGATTCGATGAATGAAGTCCGGCGTGTCGATTTGCAAACATGCACGAGTAATCGATGGAAACACGAGTCGCGTCGTTGGCTCCGACGGCCAACGGTATCGACGACGTTTAAGCAATTCGATGCCAAAGTACTTACTCGGAAGTATCGGTAGGTATCAAAATCGTAGGTACTCGATATCGATTTCTGATACCGATACTCGTGGAACGAGTACTTACTGTTGTACAATAAAACATAAACCAGGCCACAGATCTATGGCTTGTCTTCGTTAAAACCATTGCTACGTCGAAGGGTGAGAGCACTGCAAACCCCGCAATTCTAGATCGCACCCGACGGACACGTCGATCCAGTTATTCGAAATAAACGCGATGACTTGAGGAAAAGAAGCGCGGCGTTTATCAAGACAGTGATAAGGGAGCTCCCACGTCGTCGACCCGCGATTGATCTTTCATCTTGACTCCAGCGGACAATGCTACGCGACTGTAGATTTTCCGTGTCCGTCCATACTGAAGGACCGTTCGTTTCTTTTTCCGTTTCCAGGAAGAGTTCAAAGCGTTTGCTTACAGCTAAGGCCAGGACTAGGTCTAATTTAATGGCTGTCTGTTGAATTAACGAGATGGCCACGCGTCGCGCCCAACAGTTCCTCCGAGTGCAACGAGGACGTTTCTCAGTGTCAGCCTGTTGATGCACTTTTGCGGTCGCGGGAACGATGCCGTTATATCTTGTCGCGTTTACCAGATCGTCCTGACAGGTCAGGCATCCAACGCAAGGGCGGTTGTGAGCTTCGGGACAGGCTGGTTGGTAAACCCAATCGGTTTCGATCCCTGAGTCAATGACACGTCCCTTTGTTCACCGGAAGTAATACTTTTCCTTTATATAATAATAATAACATATCACCACTTTAATAATATCACAAATGGGAAAAGAATGTACTTTAAAAAAGAAAAATTACCGGTATACTGATACTCCTGAATATCGGTTTCTATAAGGGTTATTCGTACTACACAGACGTCGTTCTAATAAAGAACATCATCCACGCGACAATTTCTAATTATTATGCGACTCGGCACATGACTTCACGATCGTTTAGTTGCTAATCGTATCCGGGGCAGTCTAGTTTTGTTGATCAGAGAGATATTATGCGTCGATTGCTGTCGTTCAGCACAGAGACAGTAGAGTTTAGGCGAACAAGCTAAGAAGAGATTTCTTTTTGACTACTGACTGGTTGTTTTGCACCGAGCACACACAGGCAGCTCCGTGCAAATTAAACGTCGTAAAGCCGGATCGCGAATTAACGATCTAGCGAGATCGTAAGTTTCGCTTGGCATAATACGATGTCACAACACCGGCCCGGTGTTTGTAAGCTTCCGGCGACGGCACTTCAAACATCGCAAGCTCCGAGCCAGAAGACTCTTTGGCTTCGTTCACCCGGCGTCGGTGGTGGATGTGCTCGACTTTGGTCCTGGTTCGTTCACCTCGCGCCTTTCAGTTTCGGGACTCTTCTTTCGCAAATTTATCAAACTCCAGGCAAACAATGAGCCTTCACGGTTGTGCAGTTTCCCTGAAATAAATGTGAATTTTATGTAACGGTTTCCCGTATGACTACCAAATATCAAAACAGCTGCAACTATCTTGTCAAGACAAACATTTCTGCACTGTATTCAACGTGTTAAATTGTAAATTTGTAAATGCCACTATAATATACTAGAAATAGACGCAACATTTTGTTGAGCGCGAAGAGATTAGTCCCCCTAGATCATTTGGTCGAAGTCTTCGTTCGTTTCTGAGGATCACATGGTATATATTCTGCAACTATTGATAGAATGATGCTTCCATCTCATTTCGTGTTACTGTATTCGCTATAAACTGTCTCTATTTCATGAAAAGTATTAATAAACTGTACAGATTAGTCGACTGATTTACTGCACAATATGTCTACGTTATCATTCTCCTTTTACTCAAATTATTGCATACGGGCAGTCTCGCTCAACAAAATCTATATTACACGTGCCTCGTATATCCGTCCACTTTATTTCATTTCTTTCTGTACTCCTTTCAAATCTCGTTTCCATAAATTTAACAAATTTATCCAAATTGAGTGTCACATCTTTAAATTTACGTAAAACACAAACTATTTAAGATATTTCGAGTTTCTTTACACCAATATAAAGAGCTCGACTCGTTTTACCCAATTTTCCATTACATTATTATATAACTGAGGCTCTATGTTGAATGTGTGTTAAATACTGCCGATTATTCCAGGAGTTGCAGCAGGGCAATGGAGGTTTATCCGTGGTAGGACTGGACGGTATGCAAGACTCTCCTCAGTCGCTGAAGATCAAGCAGGAGCCGTTTCAGGTGTCGCCAACTTCTCTTCTGCCGTCTCTTCATCAAGGTAAGTGTGCGTCTTCCTTAATCGAGCCTCCGTTCCTCCCGCTGGACCTAAACGTCAACGTTAGAGACGGATAGGAGGTACGCTGGTTTCTAAAAATCGCTCGAAAACGCGAGTGTCGTTCAGAAATTCGTTTGACGTCATCAGGATCTCACCACGACGCGGACCAATGATTCCTTCGTCTTCGCGGCCGCTAAAGACCCGCGTTCTAATAATACAAAACGCAGCTCGAGTGTCGTGCGACTTGAACGGGATGAAAGGCGTGCAGGGTAATGGGACGAAGGGGAAAGGGAGATGAAAAGACGCGATGGGCCGACGAACGAGTAAAACAGAAAATCAGGGAAGGCAGAACGAGGCAGAAGAAGAGAGAAAGAAAGTGAAGTCTTTGGGGGAGGGAGAACAGAGAATGATATACCGCGAGAGGCTGCGTCCTGATCTTTCCACGCGTCGTTCAGTTACATTTTCTCCCGCGATTATGCTCCTTCGAGAGGTTGTCGTTACCTCGTTTTCGACAGTCTCGAATTCGACGTCGTTTCTGGTAGAAATATCCGGACGACTTGGACCCAGGCAAACCTGGAGAGGACGATCTCTCGCGATTTACAGGTTTCGCACCCCAAATTCACCGTTTTGCAAATCAAGTCTTTCTAAACAATTGTTTTCTCGAGTTTTGTAATGAAGATAAAATGTTTAAAATCCCGTACAGGCCTCGATTAAATTGATACACACGACTCGGCCGAAAATTCGACAAAGAGGAAATCGAACGTTTCGCGATCCGAGTGTCCGTTATCGGGTCTGGCGCGTATCAACCAAGCAGGAACATTCAAAGAGGAGATAAAGCTTGATAAAAGGAAGCGGTTGCATGCACGGTTTCGTATTACCAGATTTTCTTATTTGCTAATCGCTGAATGTCCGGACAGATAGACTGCCAGACACGATTAATCCAGCCCTCGAGACTGAAATCTAAGACGCTCGTTGGCGCGTCGATATCTCTACGAATATGCGTAGGGTGATCGCGTTGCAAAGGCCCGGGACTTACTCTGAGAGATAGTCGCTAAATCAAGTTCCGGTGACGCGCGGAATGACTTTTTTTTAACTATGTCTTTCTGGATAACAATGTTGTTGCTTATCCATTCATTGTCATTTGATTATAAGCATCTCGAGTCTCTTACACCTTTCTAATTTAACTTTGACGGTTTGAGAATACTCCGTAACCTATTGTTGACAAGTTTTCTTGACGTCTTTCCAATGATCGATGATAACTATTCGAGGACCGTTCTGGAAACATTTATTCAATGGTGGTAGAATGTTACAGTTGACCAAAGTATCCCACAGAAGAATAGCACCTTTGGTTTTGCAGGTGTCTTTGCCCTTTTGAGGTGTTTCTCTTCTTCACGCCGACAAAATTGGAAGCCTAGAACGTGAACATCCAATAAACTTACTAAAATCGTGACCGTTATATCGATATCCATAAATATTTTATAATAAAAAGAATTTGAAAAAAATACATCCTTGCTTTGGACGATCGTAGCCGGCCGGAGTCCTCCTGTGGTCCGTGCTCGATTATTTTTCGAGATCCTGGGGATGTCTGACTCCCTTTGAGAGATAAAGCGATTAGTCGATGTTAAGTCAAGAGCCAGCGATGGGGGAAAGATCCCTCCCTCGGTTGGCGGTCGGGAATTTTCGCAGGAGCAACAAGAGCGGTCGCGCAAGCCTCATTCGTGTTTTCGAAATCGGCTGTTTAGAGTGCTCTCGCGGCGAGAGTTATGGTCGCTAATCTGGGAAGGCTGCGCGCTTTACCCAACCGGGCTGATATATCGGCCAATGACAGCGTATTCGAGAATCCTCGCCGGCGATTCGCGCTTATATCCTCCGTGCTAGAGGTAAAAAAACCAACGATTCCAAACTGTATTTATACGTGCACACGTGGGAACATCTGTCCCCGGGATCGGTTGATCTGTCTCATAGGCTTTGGAGATTAACGCGTCCACTAGTACGCTAAATTCGCCCATGAATCCCACCGGGCAAAGTCTTTCTGGATATGGCACACGTATAATTTAATGAAACGATTGACTACATTCGGTCATACTACTGGCAAACTAATTTTAATCGTCTCTAAAGTACAGTCGTGTCACTTGAAATCGTACACCGTTATATTTACTAGATCTCCGACTGATAGTCATTGTTATTGTGCACTTAGGGAGAAGATCATTTGGAAATACATATTATAAATTGAAAGCTTTCTTATATGTACCTCTTAAAGGTTCCGCTGACGCTTCTGTATTGCGGTCGTGGTTCGTGTTCTACATTCGCGTTACAGTTAACAGCCATAAACGAACACGCGTGGAAAAATTTATCGGGCCAATAAAGTGCGTACGATAAGCCCGGTACGAAATAGCTGACATGTTTATTTATAGTCTGCAGATTATCGCGTTAAACGACGGTCTAATCGTTTGCTTTATCATCGTGATTTTGAATAGTACGGTCAGGATCGCAGCTTGATTTTGTTGGTCTCCCATAATCTTAATAAAGAAGTCGATCGTTGCGTTTGATAGGCGAAGTGTGATCAATCACGTTGGTGTACGTAAAACTGACCTACTAAATTTATATTCTGTAATCTAGCGATATTAATTATTATAATCTCATCCAAGCGATGATTGAAAAACGATGAAGAAAAAGAGTTCCAAAAATGTCATACTTCTATTTACCTCTTTGGATTAGTTAAGGCCGAGGTATCGTGATGCCAGAATTCAGTCTGTCAGTTTTTTTTAGAATTTTAGCAAAGGAACTTCAGTCGAGATATCGCGACCCTGCTTATAAACTGAAATCAGGTCGTGGTTGTAATCGTCGTGTTAAAATAGATTTCTAGTAAACAAGGGCACGGCTTTGGACTAATCACTACTGTCCGATAAGGGAATCGTGGACCGTAATCTGAAACTGCGATTACGTGGTTCTGTTATTCCCCGGAACTTGTAATTTTGAGGCTTGGCCAATCGCAAAAGAACACGAGGAAAGAATGTCCATTTCCAATACTTGACCAACAGCAGTTTGAACGTCACGAGTATCTATCTACAATGACTCGCATTGCTACATATCTTTGTTTATAACAATGTTAACGAACCGATTATTTATTACTGTAGTAAAACAGTACTTGTAGTGGATGAAAAGATGTATTCTATTTATTTAATTCAGATAATTTTTTATGTAACAAGCGATAAAGTAACTGATGCTAAAACTTGTAGTGTACTGTGGTTTATTTGCTATAATGGGTCGTTGCAGTAGGTCGGTTATATTGCTAATTGACATTGTTTGTAAACAATATTCAGTGTATCTCGGAAACTCAACATTGTTATTGATTTCATTGACATCAATCATATTCAATGGGAATGGAACAAAAACGTAGAAATAGTACGTTCAGAATTCTATCTGAACAGAATATTTCCTTAGATTATTGGAATGAATTTGTTTCCATGTTAGTTCTAATAATGTTTCACTGTAAGTACAAGTATTAGCGCTTCGTCGCAAGATTAGCGTCACTTGTTTACTCTCTTGCCCGTTACTGTATTAGATTCTATGGACAATAATTAATAAGACAAATGCGTCGGATGATTTTGCAGGGTGAATCACTATACACGCTGACAATACTCGCACAATTTGTACTCCAAAATTTTGTTGCGGTCGTCCAAGCTTGGTGACTTGCTCGGGACACGATAACGCCGATAGCGTAAGGTGCCCCATTGCAAAACGAGGAGTGACGGAGGCGATTCGAGATAAATACGCGACGACGAACCAACTGCCGCGAAGACGGACGGGCCCCCTTGTTGAAATTATCTCCAGTGCTCGTTAGGTAATCCTCGTTTCTGTTTTTGGCTCTCCCCGTGCTACGGATAAGCGGTCCTGTGCTCGAATAGGGCCTCGACTCGTTTGCAAAACATTGCGTACTCGTTATTATAGTAAACACGATAACGACGCTTCGTCGACGATAAAGGAGAATCAAAGAAAAGACTTTCTTGCGTTTCGAAGCGTTGGCCCGATCGACGCGTGTCACTGAGTCCGAGATTGCTCTATGGAGAATTTTCCTAGAGAAAAGTGTTAAGAGCTTTTGGCGAAAATACTATACTGATTTTAGAGTAACTTTTGAAGCCTCAATAAAATCAAGAGTTTGCTTACTTTACTAGAAGACTTGGTAATAAAGGGGATTTGGAATCTAAACAAACGAAGATCGGTTCTCGAATTCTCGTCGGTTTCGGTATAGCTTTGCTGGCATAATACCGGAATGAAAATCACTTCCGGTGTCGTGGACACGTCGGGGAGAGAAGAATGACGGATGAGAACGGCGCGATGGCGATGCTGAGGAGGTCGAGATACCAGGCGACGATTGGCTCACGCGGAAGATACCGCCAGATGAGCTATCGTCGCTCAGATGACCCTCTGCCCCTTGCCTCGAGTTTCTCTTTTATCCTCGTACCTTGCCCGCGGCTTCTTCTCCTTTGCCTGTCACGATGCAGGGTCGCGACGCGATCTTTTTCTTCTCCGCGATACGCGGTATCTTCGTTTTCGGCTCAAAACTTTGAGCCGCGAGGTCAAAGTTAAAGTTGCGATGTTTTTTCCATCTAATCTTCTTGGATGAAGGTTGCTGATCTCACGGTAAACGTTCATTATTAGCTTATACGTGAAATGTATAATTGTGTAGTCATTTGTGATAATGAAACCATTATTGACACTTTAAAGCAGCTTTCTAAATTCGAAATGTCCGATTTTGCATCAGTCTAAAAAAAATTGAAAATTTGATATGTTTTGTCGAGTCTAGGGTATTAGTATAACACGCAACAAGGATAATCGAGCTTTGCCTTAACACAAGTCACAATATTTAGTTAAACAAGGTTTACATTCATATGTTTATCTTCTTTTCTTTTTCTGGCCATATTGTAGAGTCCTCTTGGTTTTTTTCTTTGCGATACGTAGTATCTTTGTTTTCAGCTCAAAACTTTGTTATCGGCGGTAGCGGAGTCGAACGTTTGCTTATTTTCGTGGGATGTCTTCGACTGGAGGTTGATGAACCCACTACAAATGTTAGTCATCCGTTTTTGCGCTCGTTGGAATTTGAGTTCGCGAAGTACTAATGTTAGTGGTTTACTGTTTTGATTTATTCCAAAGATTACGGGTTGCATTTGTCGAGGTTCTACCGTACATTCAAATTTCCCACACGCTGTTAGGGTACCTAACAAGAATCTGACCCTATCGGTTCGGAGTTAAATGAACTGATCTCCCTTGGAATTTGATCCTTCGAATCGAAGTTTTGTTTCTGCCGTAACGTTAACGATGATGTTGTGTTGTAGACACGTTTACGGGCTAATAGTATCTCCGGATAGCACGTGCTTCTCTTTCCTGAGTGGTATGAATGCCCCGGCCGTGATTAGCTGGACAGCGATGGTCCATTAGAAGCGGCACGTGTCTTAGGGTTCTTTTAGCTCATACATACGCATGATATTCAATTGTGAATGACTTTTTAGGCGCGTTCACATGTTGAATTTCTTCTGAACGCATTATTTCAATCGATCGAATAAGAACAGACCATTATAATTTAACTGCTTCCCTTGCTCGTAGTTATAGTTGGATTTAGTGTGAAATGAAACAAATTGGACGTAAACTCGCAATCAGTATGACGCAAAGTGTATCGTATCTTGTCCAGCAAACTCTGTCGGCCACGTGCATCGACAGTAGGGTGTTTTTAAAACGAGAATACTGTGGTCGTACATTGTCATAACATCAACGATGTACTCTATACACATAAACATATAGCGTAAAAAAATATAGTTCACCGCGAATTGAACGTATCGTACGGCGCACTGCACAATACACGTTCTAATAAATAACCGGGCCAAATTTCTGTCACTGCGACGACGGATGAATAAATTATTTACGTTATACCAATAAGTGTAAAGGAAAATTAAGTCAAGTTACAACTGTATACATTCCTAATAGGGCCCATGCGCGCCCACGGTTTTTTTGAGGACCTATTGACACAGGTGTTGCCATATTTTGTCTTGTAACGTAGAATTATTTAGAGAATGCGGCTTCTATTTCATTAGAAGGTTCGTATTTATCTAATACCGGTTCTGCAACAACGTTGTCAACTCGTTCCGCTTATTTATCAGACCGTGTTGGATATTTGTCGTCGTTTCCCCGTAAATGAAAAAAATGAAACGGGTGATAAACGATAGGCCACGGGAACGATAAGACGCAAAGAAACGGAAGGAAAACGGCGACGATTGCAATGCGAGGTATATCGACTAAGTCTCGGACCAAAGTCGATCCTCGCCGCGAAGGTCTTCGTGGTCGTTGTCGCAGAAAAACCGTGACATTCGCATTCCTGAAATGCTGCGAGTTCCGACGAGGAATCGACATCCGACGCCGATAAGCGAAATACAATACGTCGTGACATCAGGCTGCGAGTCGCAGTCTTCTCTTGCCGGGATTGCTATGCAGAAATGCAAACTTTCTTTCAGAGGTCAAAATAGTTGGAATCGGTTTATCGTAACAAACTACAGATATAGACGATGAGATAAATCAGTACTTACGGGACATCTGAAGATGGTCTATGGGATCAAAGCTTAATTACGTGTTAAATTTGACTTTTTTATCACAGCTCCAAGCTCCACTGGCAATTTTATCAGACAGCACGGAAAAAAGCTTTGCCGGTTGCAAGATCCGTGACCTCATTAACGATGAAACGTGAACTCATTCTGCGACCTGCAAATTCTGTGAAACGTCGGCAGTATTCACCGATCGTGTCAACCGACATACATGTGTTTCTACTCTTACAGCAATATCGCTACGAAGGACAATTTTCGTAATACCAATTATGTCACGGATTTTCACGTAAAACTGAACGTCGCATTTTTTCCGTTTTCGTGACGAAATCGTTCTTCCAGCTTGGACGACGGACGTCCATATAAAAGTATAAAAATCCCTGTTGAGTCGCGAATTAGATTTTTCGTGGGCCTTGCAATATTTTTCACTGAGAACGGAGAGAAATTTCCCTAGAGCGTAAATTAGAACAAGGGATCCCGTGACGAGAGCAGATGCGGTCTCGGTGTCGCGTAGCACGGGTTCTCCAGTTGCAGTCAGGTGTGTTGGCAAACCGTTTGACGTTATCGTGATCTCGTTACTTGTTTATGCACCGAGGATCTACGTACACTACGTGCATGTCACGCGTGCGTGTACACCTTAGGGCTATTCTATCGTTGATATCGCTTTTCAAACGGGGACACGCGATCACTCAAGCGTAACGGACATCTCTAACAATTAGAGACAAGCGGAAGTCGTATTAGATCTACTAGATAGCGTAATCGATGGGTTTTTAGGATCACGATCAAATTCTTTGGCTCAATTCTTTTCTATAGCGAAACTATATCTGTAGAGAATAAATATTTTAGTCTTTTTCCGCTTTCTATAAAATAGATTATAGGATCTACTAGATAGACTGATCCTTCAGCCATTCAGCTACCAAATTCTCTACCCAAAGCCAACAGAGTGGTGACTCCGACGAAACGCATAGTTTCGAAGTATCTCTTGACCAGCCCAATAATCCATTTGGCTGAAAACGCGATACCGCGTTTCTGCTTTCAAAACATTTCTCTCCCTCCTAAACGAACCTGGAAATCATATACCCCGGAGGTTTGCGTTAGCGGGATATCATATTTGCCCGGGATTCGCGTATCCAGGATCACATGTGTTTGACCGATAACAATGTAATCGAATGTCAACCATAGGAAACTGGAGGTACTGGCTCTTCGCAGTTCTATTTTCCGCTACGAACTTCGAGGGTCCGTTCTCGATACAATCTAGCGATTTGCAAAAAGTACTTGCTACACTTTTTGTTCTGCACTCTACCTTCTCTCTTCCAATTTCTTCTTTCTCCGTTGCACGAGCACGGTCGTGTTTAACTTATCGGTGTCCGGTTACGGTCAGTTCCAGTTACACGTGACGCGTTGGTACCGATGCTTGCTCGACGCCATGCACGTACGCAACTCCTTCGCGAGTACGTGTTCTCTCCGCGTTTTTCACCGACTTTAATCGTACTTTCTAAACGGCGACACGTTCAACCGTCGAAGACCTGTTCCTTCGATGGAAGTTTAAATCGGCGAAAAAGTAAATTCTTAAACCATCGCGATTCGAGACAATTTTAACAATTTTACAGCAGGACTTTTTAGACTACACTTTTCTTTATTCGCGGGCACGTTTCGTTACCATCGATAACGCGTCCTGAATTACTTCGTCTTGAATCACGATTTCTTCAAACAGTCCACGCTTATCGTTCTGCGCGTCGAGTCTCGAATGTCAAAGGGAGAGTTCCTTTCAAAGAACCAATTGTTTTAACCCGAGGTTTCTCGGAAGTAGCTTCCCGTGTGGTCGCACCGTTGCGCGCAGATCGATCGAGCACGTTCCATTGTCCCAGGTTCCTGGAGCCCACCGGTTGTCTCGAATCGAAATCACCTTGCTTCTCGTGTTTTCGCTGTCGCACAGTGAAGTGTTCCCTTGATGCAGCTGACTAAAATTATTTCTGTGATTAATTGGTTCTAAAAATAATGTACATATATATAATTATAATATGCATAGGTACAAATGTACAATATATAACAAAATATAACTAAAAGAATGCAACCTTAATCAGACGAAGATATCCATGGTTCTCCATCGTTGTCCAAGGAAACATTTTCTTCATACGTATTAAATGTAATTGATTACATTTTCCCTTATATTGTAGTAAACAAGTTATTCGTGGACGTTTCAGTAAGCAGCTTCGTTTCCGACATGCAAAATGGCTGCATGGGTCCCGCGTCGAAAGAGTTGGACACCTCCATCAGGCTCGCGAGGAACCTTACGTCGCATCACACCTCCCGGAGCCATCACCACTCTCATCTCAGCCTCCACAGTCCAAATTCAGGAGTGTCGATGCACTCGTCAGGCTCCAGTCATCATCACCTGGACGAGAAGGGATCGTCTCCAACGAGCGCTCTCCATAGCACTACAAATAGCAATCCCTCGACACCGTCGGCGCCTACGACGCCCACGGCGATCGCTGACGGATCTGCCACCAGCTCAGGAACCGGAAACGATAGCAACAGCGCCAATGATTCCGCTACGAAGAAGCCACCGTTCAGCTATGTGGCTCTCATCACAATGGCGATCCAAGACAACGCCCAGAAAAGGGCAACCCTCAGCGAAATCTATGCCTACATCACCGCCAGGTTTCCGTACTACCATAAGAACAAGAAGGGTTGGCAGAATTCCATCAGACATAATCTGTCGCTGAACGAGTGTTTCGTGAAGGTACCACGCGAGGGGGGCGGCGAACGGAAAGGCAACTTTTGGACCCTCGGTTGGTGAAATATTTGTATTGTAGGATAAACGTACCTGTAATTGGTGTCGAAAAAAATGATTAGGGAGGCAATAATAACATCTAGTACCGATAACGATACTGTCTTATCTATTTACAGATCCTCACTCCGCAAACATGTTTGAAAACGGCAACTACAGAAGACGTAGACGCATGAAGAGACCGTACAGAAATGCCCCATATCAAAAACCGCTGTTCGGCGACCCTTTTTCCCCTACACACGTTCACTTGGGGCCTAGAAATTTGTTTGCTCATTCGCCACCGTCCTACGCTCCGCCCCCCTACACAAGATACGACACCAGGTACGATCACAACTATAATACATTAATTCCCCCGTTCGAATTTTTATCCCCTCGTTAGAGTCATATTGAATTCCGATTTATCAAATTAAATGGTCGTTGATTGTCTTCGATTTCAGCCCTTGGAGTATTCAGCAGTCCCAGCTGTCCTACGGTCACTGTCAATCGGTAAGTTTGTCGACTATCGCATAGTTGTGAACTTTTTAGAAAGTATAATCGCGGACTGTCTATTGCAGCTCCAACCACAGTTGCAACCGATACAATCGATGCAGATTCCAACGATGAACGGCTACGGTCAGTTGGGTACCTCTTTAAGTGAGTTTCACCTCTGGCTTGATTCTTTTTTGATCCATGCTCTTTTCGCATGCTCGACGTCTTGACATAGCGTTTCAAGGCAATTACCTGGATGTTCCAGCTGGTACAACGAGTTCCCCAACTTCCATGGGCAGTGGCACCTTTGGCAGCAGTTTCACCGCCTGTGCCAGGAGACACGACACTGCAATATCGACGGAGACGATGCCCACAAGATGCTATTGGCCTGAAAGTAAGTTTTATTTACTATACATTCGTGAAATAGACAATGGACGTTTGCGCAGACGAATAGACTTTACATCATTGAAATATTATAATAAGAAACATGTTCTTTTTCTCGTTTACATTAAATATTCTCATAGCGTATGAATATATGTTGGAGTAACCGTAGAGAGTTCTATGTAGGATTTTGTCCAAGCTCAAAAAACGAAGAAACGATGAGTGACCCTTGGAATTCGGTTTTGCCTGTCGCAGTGGTGACCGTGAAGGAGGAACCAGGCACCGTGGCGGTGTCGAGTTCCGGCGTCACTGGTGTCGGTGTTTCCTCCGGCATAATGGGGTCCACGACGTCGACAGGAGTCTCCGCAACAGGCTTCGCTCCTATGGAGTTCCAGTCACGATCCAAGTGTTTCATGTGAATTGATCCGCCGTCGAAGTGGCTGCCAATCGTGGACAACCCCGTCAGAGCTACGAGATGTCGTATTTCAATCCGGTTGGTCCGTGAGTGTAAGCTTCAGCTCGGTTCAGAACAGCATCCAACGGAATCGAAGAGTCCGGACAGGCGAGATCAACGAGAACTGTATCGCGATCACCGTCACTTATGATAACAGACGCATCTGTTCTTCGCGCGTTTCCGACTGCTACACAGTATTTATGCGAGATAAGGGACGGATTCGTTCCCCGAGGAGCGGGTCACGAGAATATTTTACGTGTTAGTTACGTATGACGATAGTATCTAATTTAAGATGCATTGCGAGACAGGAAGACATAGTTCTCCTTTTATACATATATAGGGTCAGTCGCTGAAGCTTAGAACATCGAACGATTTTATTTCTCATATTGCAATGTTAGAAAAACGTCACTCTTCAAGAACTCGATATGATCCATTAAACAGAATATGTTCTTTCCTCGTCGTATTTCCGTGGCGATAAGAATCAAGGACTCATTTGAGATGCTGACCTACATTGATTCGCCCCGTATACATATCTAGGATTATAGCAGCGAACATAACAGTGTATATCTAAACGTAATTTTAAGATCTATTTCGAAGACTCGATGTACATAATCTAACCAATAAACTAGGTACACCAACAGTCCGATTATGCTACAGGTTAAACTTCAAGTTATCTGTAAACTGGTCACTAACTGCCTATCGAAATTCTCCCCGTTTTAAAGACTCTGGAAAAGCGACAGCTAATGCTCCTGTAATTACATCAGAAAAGCAAATAAATCTCAATTATTTATCGCCTGATGAAACAAGAGAAATATCATTTACCTTCCATTAGAATCCAACGGTGGGACGTTTCTACTTCACGACGTAACGAGGTTTTTCCTAGGTGAACGTCTAGTATCGCCTTAGTAATTTAAAAAAATCAATTCTTTTCGCTCAAATTGTTTTAGGATGAAGCAGTTTATTCTTTTTATACCGATAAATTCTTCGTTCGATTTTAATGAGTTTCGGATAAAACATTTTCTTCTTAAACTATTCAAGACAGTAAAATTACGTATACGTGACTACGACACGCAATGGCTGGCTGTTGAAGTCACGAATACGTGACAATGGCCGTCAAAGTGTTAAAGAGCGAGCTTCGCACGCGGATAGGTTATTTAAGGTTTCTTTGTTGGCCTTCGACTATAGAGAGGCCTCTGACTTGGAATATCCGGTGAAAAAAGATGGATAACGCATAGGAAGAGAGAAAAGCGGCCATTGGCTCGCTAACCAGCCGGTAACGGCTATGTTTACGAAAACGTCGATGTTTTGCAAACACGATCCGCACCAGTGAGCTTTAATATTCCCCGTAAAAGAGAGGTCGGCCGTGCACTGCGTCAACACCGTACGTGCATCGGTGCAAGAACAGCACGTTCGCTTTATTTTTCGCCTGCAAATCGATCGCGCGGGCACGTCCCTTCCCGTCAGGCTCGAAATAAATGTTGCGTCGTCGATGAATCTGGAAAAAGAATTCACCGCTAGGAATGGAATGAGCAGAAGTTAAACGATTATAAAACTAGCAATATGATCACTCAAAATCTTAAGATGATTCGAAAATCTTAAGATCGTTCCAAAAATGAAAAACTTATTGTCTTTCAGGTTCTTTCAGATCTATGCAGCGGAGCTTGTTCACCAATGAACCTAAAGCAACGATAATTAGATGACGGTCACGTTGCTCTATAAAATACTGTACCTACATCTTTGTAACTTGAGCCACGTAACACTGCAAGGCGAAACACCGAATGATTTACCTGACTTTTCAGTGGATTCGTTCCACAAAGAGGGTTCCGCGTCCGATGATTAACGCTCGTGTTTGCTTATCGTGGCTGTTTGCAGAAAACGACCAGTATCTGACGTTTATGTATGGAGTATCGGCCCGCGCTGCTCTGGTAGAACCAGTTTCTGATAAAAACACTCCAACTATCATCGCGTACACAGTATAGATTATAAGATTGATTTAGTAATTAATAGATTAATTGTCTTCGCTTTGATAATTACATAACAAGTATTTTCTGTATCGTCTATTGATCCGTGGAAATAAATTATATTTTTTCTTCTTTTTTACCTTCAAAGGTCATAATATTCTTTTTAAAAAAAGTCAATACGTCTCATAGTATAAGACAACCGCTGGTGGTAGCATCGATGAAAAAGAAGGGTCACGAAGAACCGTCCTATAGGAGTGCGGAATCCTCCCTTCTTCCCTCACAAACGGCCATCTCACCTGTTCCACTCCACCAATAGCAACACGAGGTCTCCGTTATCTATCCTTATGAACGCTCATCTTCAATGGGGAGCCAGTACTTTCACTTATCTCCGACGACCAATAAGAACACGATAATACTGTTATTACAAAACGACGACCCTCCCTACAGTTAAGCGTCCAGAAAATGGTACTGGTCAACCGTGTTTCCCTTATAACAATATAAAGGAAGAAAATAGGATACGTATTGATCCATAAGGTATCCGATACAGTAATGGAACTCCAATACTGTTAATTGCAAATTTTCTAGCAAGGTTCCGAGTTTCACGGATACTGTCTTAAGACTAAAATAAGATTTTAATCTATGAACAGTCCATATATGAGAGACAAGTTTAATAATTTAATGTAAAGTATTCGCCGGAGAGAATTGTTGACGTTTTGGAAACGTTGTTCTCAATGATACATTAGACAAATTACGTTTCCTAAACGTCATTGTATCCCCAGGGGTTGATCCAATTGACGATCATTATTATGTCCCTGTCAATATTGAATTCACATCGCGAAAGATACAAGTCGATATTTTCTTGGTTGTTGCATGTTTTGAGATGTTGGGTTGAAAGTAACGTTCGAGGCGGCTGGAGACGCCGGGGAATTCCTTCGTTTCCGTCGCGACGAGATTCACACGCACGTGCATCGTCCGTGGCGTGTAAATAGAGGGCGGAGGTGACATATAGCGACAGCCAGAGCAAGCGTGTCGACCATTTAGGCGACTATTAGCAGCTTCACGGGGTCTTCACGCACATGCGTCTTTGGTACGCCGGTCGTTTCAGCTTCACGCGCTGACTGAATTACTCGATTCACTGTACACTCTAATATCCGTAGACTATTAAGTAATGTACAATAGGTAATATATCACGCAATTTAATATCGGTAGAAGAAGATATCAAAGTGTAATCAGATTACATTTTACCCAATTCTGCTACTCAGGTTTTCTACGTTTCCTCGACGGGAGTCCAGGACTACTAGAGTGGCGAACAAAGTCTTGAATTTTCGATGACCTTACCTTGTATCTTTTATACGCAGAATGATCCAAGGTACCTAAAAAAAAAGGAATAGTATTAGTTTAAAAAAATTACAATTGCATGAACCATAAAACAATTTCGTTCTATGTTTGCTTAGAACAGAGCTATATCCTGGCCCCAGTTACAAGACACCCTATATTTACAAATATCGATGATGGTCATGTTAGAGATCACAAAGTGTTGCAATGCATGAGGATATTGGGTGAACGACTCGAATCACATCGAAATCACTTTTGTCGTCTAAATTTGGCCCCGCCTTAAAAATTACTCGGCTCGTTTTTGCGGTCGTTAGAGTGGATTTAACTGGACGAAACGAGGGAGAGTGTGTCAGATATCGTTCGACCGAGTTCTGGTAATCCTCGCGCGGAACGGACGGCAATAAATTCTCGGAGACGCCGCGTCGAGAGGAACCAGTGTTACGCGGCCCGCCTCGCTCCATTTACTTCTGAGACGTTACCTAAAATCAGTTAATTATACTCTAGACTCGACCACTTGGCCTAGCTAGATTGATATTCGAAGATATCAATTCAGTTAAAAAAAAAAGAAAAAAAAACAGTGACTCTCGAGTCCAGCTTGACGCAGAGTTTTTTACTAGCATTGTATATGACAAAAATGTCTGAACTTATAAAAACAAGGGGATACAAAGATATGTCAAATTTTTATCTGTACAGCAATGTCGAGTATCGAATAAAAGAAAAATTACATTTCATTCGTTACCCGTAAAATAGAAGATTAGAATTTGAATTATAGAATTATTCCACTAAACATGAATAAACGTTCTGAGAGGATAAATCAGAAAAATCACGCTGTTGATAGTATTTTGTCTCGAACATTTGTACAGAACTGGCTAGCTTATAAAAACGTTTCTTCCTTGTATTTTGAACTCTTCACGGTTTAGGCCCCTGATTTGACTGTCCCTGCATGATCTTCTTCGCGTTTGCTTTTCATAATCATCTACGAAAAATACAGAAACTTCGATCTTCGAGTTTCCGAGTGAGAAAATCGCAAAGTATTCATGGCGGCTCCTCCTCAGTGGGAAGAAATAACGTTGGCTTTTACAAAGAGCATGACGACGCGGACAATTTGTAGCGGAGTGTCAACGAAGCCGTTTCTATTTTCGAGACGACACGCACGGCTATCTTTTCACCTCCTCCTTCGTCGTCCACCGCTGTCTTTCTGTGTCTCCACCTACTCCACCCGTTCCATCGTTTCTAAGTCGACTGGCGTGTTGGTGCACCGATTCCCTCGATGTAAATTTACACGCAATTAATATCGTCCTCGTCCTCCGTTGTCTCTTGTTGTTACCGAGCGTACAAGCGATCCATTTAACGTAGAATGATCCACGGACGAGTTGATCGACCTTTTAACTTTTTCAGGGTATGATACGCTTCTTGTTTTAGCGCTGATATCGTTGACGTTCTGGATTTGCAAACGGTGCATTCTAATGGAAGAATCAGCAAAGTTAAAGTACCCCGTATATCGAACATAGAGATGGAAACGAAGGAACTCGATAAGTCGTACCTTCTGTGAAGGTATTTCGCTCGACAGACCGGCGATCACGTACCATACGTGCCAACTGCTAGTATTTCTCTCTCTGAATTGGTTCACGACACAAGTACGCGTGCATGAAAATCGAAGACTATTCGGGTTTCAAGTAGCTAAAAACTGCTACGTATTCGCGGCTTATCAAGCATTTCGGTTATTTCAGGATCCTCGAGGGAAAGGGGTCACCGCGTTAATTGGAAATTGCATCCTTCCATTTTGTAAGAAGTATCTTTAAAATTGAAAACGTGATACCCTTTCCTGATCTTTAATCAGTTTCGCAATTGTGTATCAGTTATCATGAGACCCAAAAAATTTTATTAGGGACTCAAATGTATAAATTCTATTCAGCGAAGATTGGTTAGTTTGAGAGGTTTTAACTTATTTTTCTTCGCAATATGTGAAGAATTCTGTATATGCGTGTAATTCTAGCCTTAATACTAAGTTGAAGTTTAACAAAAGACGTGGCTGAAAAAGAAGCGATGGAGATTAAAGCTTTATTGCACCATTATTATATTAACAATATATTTAATCTTGGTTGCACGAGTGAAGTTCTCGCCTACATGTTGCATTACTTTCTCAGACAAGTCCATAAAAATCTTATCGTACATAGATGTCCTTTAACGATGGGTCTGGCTGTGAAAGGAAGTGACAGAGATTAAAACTTATTGTACCATTCTGTTATATTAACAATATATTTAATCTTCGGTACACGTGTAAAGTCCGCGTGTACAGGTTACGTAATATTCTTATTTGAATGCGTTGATAAAAACACTCGCGCACAAAAAATGTCCTTCAACGGTAATACTTGATTCTAAACGGCTCCGATCAACTCGCGGGGAATGACTGACGGAAGGAGAATGGAAATTGCACGTACGACGCACACGCTGCTCGCCTTCCAATCGAAGGGCTAATCTTCCTCGAGGAGATCGTCGTCAAGATTCACACCCTAGAACAGCAATTATTCCGACTCTTAACGATAATTTTGGTAACCAACTATTTTTACAGTCTCCCATAACTGACAACTCTATAGCGGCTACTACATCATCATGTGCAAAATATGAACAATCCGAAGAGGAGAAGCGTGATAAAGTACAAAAATGATGGAAAAATGTACACCAAGAGGGATTTAAGCGGGTTCTGTGTGCTCGAGTGTTATGACATGAAGGCTGTAAAGAAAACGAACTGTAACTGGCGTGAAGTCAAGCATTAATGATTATTTGGTCCCATTCGCTTACTATACAATGATGACTTGATGGCTAGGCACGCCAATTGGCCGTAGCGTAATAGCAACGCCTGCTCTCACACGCATTGTCATTATTGGCAAGACTAAGAGGCATTGGCGTAACCGTACGTTCAAAATACTAGCCATGAATACAACAAAAGTGTATCCCTTGTGGTTATGGAGACCCTACTACTATGTAGCGTGACGTCAAATCGGGCCTGTATAGTGGGAATAAGGCGGCGCGTAGACCTTCTCTCCTTGCCCTTGCCTCGTTTAGTTTATAGATGCCTAGCCAACAAGTCATCTCTGGATAGTACATCGGTAAATGATGTTACAATGATGCCCTTAATTGTTCGTTTCTTTTTTTTATCAAACCTTGAATTCATGTAACTTTTGCAAAACTTAACACTATCCCATAACATAATATTAATTGCGTGCACCGGACGAACTTCACATTGCGTACTTACTTGTTTCAGCAGGAAACTAATAATTACACTAAAAAGAAAAGAAATTCAACAGTAAATTATATTCGAACGACGAAGGGCAAACGTATTTAATGATAAATCATGCAAAATGAATAGGTTTGAATTTACCTTAAAAAAAATTCAACTATTTACCTCGCGTTTGAAAAATTATTAGCATAGAAAAACAAAAATCTTTCCCTTTTCATGACAGATTTTCAACCGGATAAAATAAAGATAACTCTATGAAATTTCATATTTCATCAGCCAAGTTTCTTCATGGCCATCTACCTATATGTATATGCTTTGAATACTGTTATTTCTTATTTTTTGCGTACAGTATAAAATTGTTTCGTGCTATCAATGATGGTAATAGTTATTTACACGTACAAGACGATCTCGTTCGTCTGTATGAATGATGCATTCGAGATAAGTTATTTTTAAACGTGTCCAAATGTTTCGCAATCTGTTTCTCATATAAGAATAATCTTTCGATACGCAACTGTATCTTTAAAAACTCTATATTATCTAAGAATAATTTTTGTTCAATTTAAGAAACATATTATAATATAACAGACTTAGCCTTTTGAACTATTGGCTTTATCAACATAGAATGGATGGGTGGCAAAATGAATGGACGTTGCAAAACGAACAGCAGCATATAAAATTTTTTTGCTCGCGTACCCGCCACCGTTTCTTTCTTTGTTTTATTTTTGACCAGTTCCTTTTCGTCCGTGTTTCACCTTTCTCTGGTTTATTTAACGGACCGTTTGTTCCGTTCGATAGGTGGAACGTGTTCACATGCATCAACCAGGATCGATACACGTAGTGCACACATGCAACGAAGACGTATGCGCGCGATACAGTCCGTTTCGCACTGTTTTGGTAATGTAATACCCTTCTAGTGTTACGCGTCCTTATTTAAGGGTATTAAGCCATCGTTTAGTTACGCTCTTCTTATTCTCTTCCCCTTCTCTTCTTTTCCTTCCGCTTGACCTTGATTAATTTATCCCAAGATTTTGTTACCCCAACTGATCATTGTAGACAATGGGAGAATTGTTGATACCAGCATAGTTTAACTCTAGAGTACTTCATTTTTGGAAACATTAACTTCACTCTGGAGTCCAACGGATCTCATCGTTATTTGTACACAGTTATCCTCTGAAGTGGATAAAATGGTACAAAGTATATAAATTCCAATCATCAATTAATTTATACAAATATTCATATTCTTCAACATGGCACATTTTCTTGTCTGTGCCCTTCCCTTCCCATATTTTTCAAAACACTCATAAGGAATGAAAACCAACCATAACTCTTACCTACTTTGTAATGGACTTTTACACAGTGAAATGCCAGTCTATTTATTAACAATAGAAAGCAAACGAGGAGATCTGGCTACAAAATGAAGCATTTCAATAGTAATAAAAACTGACTGTTTAATGGATCTTCACAATACTAATGAAAAATAAGGTTTCGATATTTAAACCGTACTTTCGAAGCATTGGACGAAATATTTTGGATAGGTTATGCTACTTCTAGTGTTCTTACTTACACCCATTACATACCCTCGTCATCAATGATACGAATGAGATGTACAATATTCATGGTCTGATCTGCATGGAAGAAATTTTTAAATAAATTTCGCACAATTTCTGCATTTACATGCTAAACACACACTTTCACCGCTACGTGTCATGCACATATATACTTTATTAATCAGAACCACCATTTATATGTATCATTTGCATGTATAAAAAATGGTTACCTTAAGAGACAAAAATAAATAAAGGAAAAGAGGCCAAAACTTACGAAACATGAGGCTAAAATTAAGCAAAAAATCACTTTGCCAAAAAAGTATTAATGCGATGAAACTTACAGTAGTGTCTATGGTGTCGTCAATTTCAAGATCGAGGTCGAAATCATCGTCGTCCACCGTGAGTGGCCTGGAGCTGCTGCTGATGGTCTTAGTCGTTTTTTCAGGTGCAGCCGTATTTTCGGTAGATGGAGGAATTACCTTGCTGATATCCAGATCTAATAACCTGTCCACCAGAACCTCGGACGATGGTATTTTCGGTTCGCTGTTGGTATTGACGCTTGCTTTGTAAGTGAATCGATTCGTCTGTTCGGCTGCTAACATTTCCTCCAATGGTTTTCGTTCTGTACTGAGCTGCGAAAGACGAGAGGACGCCTGTTAAATAGTACGTTCAACGAAATACTTTAACTCCTTCTATTAGATTAATCCAGTAATCGTCAATCAGAGATGGGTAAATACAAAAGACAGCTGATTACTAAAGTATTCTTCTAAACAAACTTTGTCCCTTTTTCGGCCTTCATAATGGTCTAACCCAATTAATATAAAGTTTGTACTTACTTGCACCGTTGGGAACCCAGATGCGGGAATCTTCTTTTTGGCTTCGTCTCTCAGGAACTGTTCGACTTTCAAAGCTTCGCTGTAGCCGGGAAACAAATTTTCATACTGTTCAGGATCGGCTAGACTTTGTCCAGCCTTCTCGCTCACTGCTGACAACTTTTCCTTCCACAATTTAACGATCGACGAGATTTTACTAGGCGCATATGTTTTCGCAAAGAACGCAGCCTCGGGAATCCTATCCGTCTTGATGAGAATGTCCAAACATTTGTCAAGATCTCCGAGAATAAAGTAGGACAAGAACGAAATATTGTTCTTGCCTGTATTGTCCGCGTCCGTGCCAAGTTTCTCGATCATGTTCGCATTTCCGGTGCTGGTAGCAAGCAAAAGAAGTCCTCCGAAATCTTGAGCTTGATGCAAGCACTCCTGCGCAAGGCACAATTTACCTCTCTGTGTTGCGAGAGACGCCAATTGCCGCCATTTCTGTTGGCTATTGGCTTCTTTGGCAAGTGTGTGCGCCGTAACGAGATCTCCTAATGCCAAAGCCAATTCAAACCTGTGCTCTGGGTCTGTTGAAACCGCTAACGCTTGTTCTTTGAAACCCTGCAATGTTTCAGATCATCTATCGGCTTTACAGATTTTACGATCGCTTTGCAAAAGGATTAATTTGAAGTGCAAAGCTTGTATCGAGTTACAGTTAAGGGATAGACTGTTCTAAAATGCAAACCTGTTTTTCGAGGAAGTGGGCGACTCTGGTTCGATGTTCCTTCGGAACCGTAGGTAGAACTCTGTCTGCTGTTTCAAAGTCCTTTCGCATAACAGCTGTTTGATATTCTAATACCGAAAGTAATAATGAATAAGAGACAACTGACAGCTCCTTGTCGCACAAATACAATCTGTTGTCTCTGGGTACGTATCCAAGCAGGTACATCGGTCTGTCTAAATGCGAGACGGTCACGACTTCACCGCCAACGAAGTAGTTCACCCGATTAACGCTGTTCGTGTAAATGAAACAATCGCCGACCCAAAGACCAGTTTTCACTATTTCGCTCATTTCGGCTACCATCTGCAACATTACGAACGTATTTTGTAAAAACTCTTTCTCGTCGCCGCCCTCTAGAGACGTAAATAACATGCCTCGAATGCGTTCTCGATATCTTCTGAGTTTTCCGGAACATTCGCAACAGCATCAGTGTGATACTTTAAAATGAAGTATTGATCAGCCGTGGTTAATGCTACTAGAGAAGCGTTTTCTGCCCAATAAACGTGCGTTGGCTGAATATCTATGCGGCGAACTAACTTTAACATGTCCCAATCAAAGAAGGATAGACCAGATCCGGAAGATACTCCCAATAAGAATCCACCAAAGATTCCTGTAAAGGATGACACGTTGCAGAAAGGGGACATTTAGCAATCACGTGTGCATTTACAATCTCTGTACGAACCATCAGCGCCAAAGTCGGGCTTAAAACTTTTTTTCTCCTTGAAATTCTTGAAAACCTTTATGGTGGTGTTACTTTCTCTGACAGCATATTGGCTAGAATCTGCTGCCCACACAAATTCTGATGCCTGACCAAAGGCTTTATTTCTTAGTGCCATGGACGTATAAATAATATATTCTCCGTCTCCGCAAACTACTAAAAATCTTCCATTGGGATTGTGTTGAATAGTTTGCGGGTAAATTTCACAGGCACCCATATCTTTCACTGCCAGCGGTAACCGTTCTCCGTCTTGTGCTTCCTCTCCTAGGGTCTTTAAATTTACTTGCTGTATTTCACTATGTTTCGCCCACACAATTTTACCACCCATCGAATCCATTGAAACCGCCGGTTCCTCCCTACCAACTTTTACCATCACGCTACCCTCGTCATATCCGATCGCAACATTATTCGAGCCTCGTAGACAAGCAATTGTCCACACTCTTTCAAACCCATAGTTTATGGAAGATTCTAATCTATACGTTCCTGCGTGCCATATTCTGACGGTTCCATCTTCCGAACCGGTAAGAATGATCGGTAATTCTGGATGAAAATAGACTGCCGAAATATTTTGCGTGTGACCTTCCAGCGTTTGCACACAAGTTTTATTTTGATAGTCCCATATTTTGACATATTTATCATCAGCTCCGGATATTAAATACGGTTTATCGCCGCCGTGGTAGTAATCTACACAATTAACACCTTTCTCGTGGCCCTCTAACGTGAAATTGGCAGTAGAAGAACCAAGTTGCCATACTTTCACTGTTTTATCCAACGAGGCACTAGCAAATGTATTATTATCCTTGGGATTGAACACAATTTGCATGACATAATGATTGTGCCCCTCGAAAACTTGTTGTCCTATCCAAGCTTTTTCCCAATTCCACAATTTGATCAACATATCATCTGAACAGAAAGTTTAACATTTCGTAATTTCGAATTTGTAATATAAAAATCTACAGGGGACAGGTCATGTATTCTATACGTACCACTACTAGTTAATATAAATGGTTGTGTTGGATGTACTGCTATACATCTAACATAATCGCTATGTGCTTCAAAAGAATGCACACGCTCTAAAGTGTTATAATTAAAAACTCTGATCTGCATGTCATCTGAGCCAGTGACAACCCAATTTTTGCGTGGCACAAACTTGGCTGTACGGATAGGCTGGTCACATACTTCAAAAGTCTTGACCAATGTTTGAGTTTCATGATTCCAAATGTTAACATTTCCCTGATATAATGAACATAGCATCCATGGTTCGGTAGGGTGAAGATCGACACTTTTTACTCTGTCTGATCGAGCAGTTAGCTTTCGCTTGATGTCTAACCTGAGAGGCTAGAAGTAACAAAAAAATATATAAAATCATATTTAAAACAGAACTCTTGTCTGTGACATTTTAAGCAAGTGCAAATACATTTACACAATTTAATATCGTACGATTTTGTTATCGTTTTGTTTGAAGATTCAGTCATGATAAAAAATATATTTTTTTAAGAATTATATCAGTATTTAAAGCAACGTAGAAATATTTCATTCAGCAATTACAGAAGGAAGTTGTCATTTTGAATAGAAATAGTTCTTCGATAAATAGAAGTAGATATTTTGACGTGTCAAACGAGATAGGCGGAGATGCAGTGTCAATACAAAGTGCCCACAGGTGTTTACCGGTGACATAGATTTCAAGTATGCATTAACATCATTTTTGAAATACATACCATTTTTCACTGTACAACTTCGTTTTCCTTCACACAATATTCAATAACACAGGGCTCGATGATAACAACACATTAATGGATCCAAATCTCCTGCCATCAAGTTAGGACGTGGCCGATGCTAGCAGCGAAAATGGCGTCCGTAGGTACCAGATGCTCATTACTCAAATACCAATAAATAAAAGCCTTTCCCGCGGATCACCCCTCTGATACTATCAAAGATTATGTTAATCGGGCTCTGATCTATCATAAGCTTGATCATAAAGCTATAAAATGTATACGTGAATGTATTTACATCAGATTGGTTAGGACTGTTACGTCGATAATATCGATATGACCGTCTATCCTAACAAGGCGCTCGTTTTGAATTAATACACAGACGAGGTGTGACTAATATCTCTACCTTCACTTAAAATTGTGTACTATGTATATGACAATGAATTGTTTTCTATATTTATGCGTACAAAACATATTAATATAAGTAATATTGCTTAGTTTCGATCACTGTAGAAATTAAATCAGTAATAAATCGCTGCATAGACAAGTTATAGAATGGGTAATGGGTGTAGTACCAATAAGAAAATGTGATGCCCGAGTTAAGGACTTTAAGAGTTCTTTATCATTTTCGTATTACCATAAAACTGACAAGAGACAGGATAGACTTTACACTTTATTGGGGTTGGTGTCATACAAACTAAAATACCGCCCTGATAAAAAAAACCAGTAGCACAAACAAAGTATGTACTGTTGCACAGCCGACTCTAGTACTAGCCGTGCTGAAGGTAAAATGGTGTTACGTCCCGAGGTCGCGGTTTAGGGAAAAAGGACGGTGGGTTGGTGCCCGTGGAGCGCTGAACCGCTCTGCTCGGCGAGGCGCGCAAAAATCAAACTACAGTGAAAACTCGATAAATGTCGCTACTCCGGGTCCGGTCAGCAACACTTACGGAATAGGAGAATCGTCTTTCGAATTTGATTGTAGTTTGCCGACGCTTCGAACGTAGAAAGAGTCAGTAGCTAAAGAAGAAAGAGGGACTGAAACTCGGATTTATCGCCCCAGTTTAAATATCCGCGTCAGTGTGACCACACTACTGCACAGAAGAAAGTTTTTTATTTTTTACTTTTTGTTAATAAAAATTTCACTATCATGTTGGGGAGATTTCTCTGATTAAAATGAGGCTAAACACGATATAAGTCGGTCAATATTTGGTAGCATAATATTGAATTAAATATTGTACTTGCGAGTCTTTCTCTCTTTATTTATCCTTCTTGTGCTGTCCTTTTCTATGTTCGGAAATATCAAAGAACGACGCATCGAGGTGCTGGCTACATTTATCGAACGGGAGGTAGCTATTTTCAAACGGAACGGTTCCACCGTTTCGTAAGTGATCAAAAACTGCAACACTTATGAAATAGGGGGTTTCGTTAGCTACCACTGTTCGATAAATGTACCAATCCACTGACCTTGCGAAGATACGAGTACACAATATTTAATTCAATATTATGGTAACAAATATTGGCCGATTTATATCGTGTTTAGTCTCATTTTAATTAGAAAAATCTTCCCCACATGATAGTAAAATTTTTATTAAAAAAAAGTAAAAAATAAAAAACTTTCTTCTTGTACAGTAGTGTGGTTACACTGACAGGGACATTTAAACTAAGATGACGAAGGCAATAAAGATTTTTAAAGAAAGCCGCTACGTCTCCGGTTACACTTCGCCTCACTGGTTCAAGGGGGATCCCCCTAGTGGTGGGGATAAAAATGTATCATTTATGGAACAGCTCTTGAGGACATTTATCGAGTTTTCACTGTACTAAGTATGTTCGAAAAAGGGTTGGTAAAAGTTTATTCGTCTTCGTCTCGATTGTTCGATACAACTCGGTTGACTTTCAAAATCGATCTGTCCCTCCGCGGAAATCTTCTCGTCGTCCTCGGTGTTCATCCCTTCTCCGGAATATTCCTCGATCCTCCCTCTGGATTGTCCTGGTCCAATCGGGGTTTGTGTCTTGCCCCATCCATCCGGATCGTCTTCGATCGATGATCCACCCCCGAGCCGAGTGGAGGTGGAGGTTACGCGGCCATGTTGGAGCGGGCGCGCGTGAGAGAGAGCGTGGGAGTCGAGAGAGAAAACGAGGCTAGCGGCCTAAACAACCCTTAAGAAAATTTATGACCCTTGTGAAAGTAAACGAAACTCGAAGCGAAGTGTCGCGAGGCCCTGCTGTGTGTCAAGACCATTGAAACTCTTAACGGAAATAGCTAATTTGGCACGGTCCGTAATAAACAAAAAGAAGGAACGACGGAAACTCCGATGTGTCGTGGCCTTTAGAAAATAAACTAAGTATCTGAAAAGAAGTGCCTTCCTTTCTCTCTATCTTCCCCAGCTTAATCGCCCACGTTGAAAAACATACAATCGTATTGTTTATTACAATACGCCGGTCCGTTTGGATTTCGCTCCTAACTAAAACGCAGTTACATGACTGCACTCGACGGTGAATAATCGGGTTACAATTAATTCCCGTTGTGGCGCTATGTGCATTAAACCTACGTTCACGTGATAACGTAACAATGGCAACACCGCGGGAGTCCGGCTTCTATATACCTAGCCCAACCTACCGTAACAGCCTCCCAGTTTCCCACTACCCACCGGCCTCTGGGCTACATAGGCTCCATCTACCGGCCTTCCGGTCTCCCGCCTATCTTTCAAATGTTTCAAATATTAATGTACTGAAGTCCATTAAATGTGAGCAACGGAGCAATAATCCAGGTGTTTCATTTATTTATATTAACTCTACAGATCCTGATTTTGGTGTGTAGCACACTTATTTAATATAATCTATAGCATTTTTGGACATTTTGTTTTATATACATTTTTTTTATAAATTTCACATATTCATTAATAATGCCACGGCGTTGCTGTGTTCCCAATTGCAAGGGAAATTATGATAGTACCTTAAAAGATAATAATTACAATTCTATATTTTTATTCCCCAAAGATAAGGAATTGCGGGAGAAATGGAGGGTTGCTATTCCTCGTAAGAATTGGACACCATCAAAATATTCTGCCGTCTGTAGTTTGCATTTTGCAGAAACTGATATTGAAAGGTACCACGGTATTCTATCGCCCAATGGTGTACTGGAGAATGTTTTGTTGAGATGTCCAAGGCTTATAAGGAATGTAGTACCCTCCATTTTACAACCGAAAAATTAGAAAAACGATTTGGAAATTATAGACTTTTATCTGGTTGTAATTATCATGTGTCATATAACGAAATAATTCATGCAGAAAAAAAAATTAGATTAAAACATATATTTACAAAATCGGCAAATTCGTTTTCTCTTACTGAAATCAAAAATAAATTTCGAATTTGTGATGACAATAATAACGATCTTCATGATCTTCCCACTGATGTGACTTGTTTCACAGGAATCTTCGATACCGAATACTTGTCCGATTGTGTTGTAGATGATTCCATTAAAATTTATATTTCTGGTTATGGGTCCCATTCTGTTGCTAAAAAATTAAATTGCAATATATGTCGTTTATTAGTTGTGGAGGATAAAGGTAAAACTGTAGGCGATGTATATTTTGATCACTTACAAAGAGGGGGCCTTTCTGTCCCCACTGAAGAAGCGATAGCCTCATTTATTCATATATATGCAATAATGGAAGCCATAATAAATGATGGCAATTTAGAATCTCAATTTTTGCAATCTGGAAATCATAAACATATTTTATGTAAATTAACATATATTAGCATTCAATCAGACATACATTATTTAGCATTTTCAGATACATGCGTTTGTGATCGAGCTTACCAAAGTATTTGGTTTAAATTATTATCAATTTTTTCAAATATTTTATTAAACGATTATGTGAAAACTGTAAATAATAGTCAGTTGGAAACACGTACAGACATCACTTCTAAAAATCGTAAATTAAAAACTTTTAATAGGAACTAGATTTTCAATGATTTTTTTTAATTTCAACTTTCTTAAAACAATAATTTTTATATATATTTAACTTATTCCTTTCAATATGTTTTAATACATTAATAGAGTTTTATTTACTTGCTTAGTATATTTTTATTATGAATACTATTTCACAAGATTCAAAGTTTTATTAGTTGTATTTCAAGAGAATTTCAAAGTATGTTTTGATATGTTTTGTTATTAATATTATTCAAAATTATTTATTATTATTTCAAAATGTAATACTTTATTTCTTTAAGAACACAAAAGTTATGTTTTTGTTATGTTCTATTTAAAAATATTTATTTTATTTTAGAAAATGGGATGATATGGCTATTGGCGAACCACCCATTATAATAAAAAAAAAAGGTAACGCGCCATGGTAAATACCCCTAGGGTGGTGAGGAAATATTTCACAATTATCATACTGTCCTCTAACACGATTTTATAATTAACTCCATAATTGTTCCTTTCAATAGCTAATTATGCTAACCTCTTTTTCCACGGGCACTTAACCTGTTTGGCTTCGTACCAATAATTTTGCCTATTTCAGGTCTCTATTAACTTATACATACCTTTATCAATTTTTAAATCCTTCAGTTTGGTTCAAAGATGGTTTTAACTTGTTTCACACTTCTATTTTCTTGAAATCTCTGCAAATATTTCAAATATAATGCATCACAACACCAAACTATTCCGACAGTCCACAAAATATATACCACATTTATAAATATTAATATACTTCTGTATTACTTCTACTTACTATAGTTATGATATTCATATATTCCTTATACATAATTAATAAAAAATACTGTATATTAGTATAATTTTATATCGCAAAATAACGTTAATTATAATCCTGAACACAAAACTCCACTATTGAAAATAAGACTCCCGATCAGTGTGGCCAGATCTGGCATAATTGAGTGCATCGAAATCGACAACAGTGACGACGAACTTCCTTACCGTCTAACGGAATGGTGGGGATAGCAGGCATACACTACCGCACGAGCCACGTGTACGTGAGCTCGGCACTTCGCACAACTTCGGCAAATCGATAAAGAACGCTTGTGTGAGCCTTTCCTTCTTGCTCTTGTAAAAGAGGAACAGCTGAAATACGACCTCGCGATAATCGGCATACGATTCCAACTCTCGACTGCCCCTGCATTTTTACTTTCCGACCTATATGTAAGGTATAAGGAAATTTATAAAGTATCATAATGAAAAAAAATTTTGAAATTTTTTTTTAGCGGAAATACACGTTTTAGGACCCCTGATCATATTGTGACTATTGAAAAAAACGATATTTTTTTTTATTCCTATGCTATTAACATGAATACATTAAACGACTAAGTGAATGTCAATAACGAAAAAAATATTTCGAAATTTTTTTTTAGCGGAAATACACGTTTTAGGACCCCCTCATCATATTGTGACTACTACAAAAAAACATATTTTTTTTTGTT